AAGCCAGTGACAGGAAGACAAAGCCAGTGGCGGAGAGACACAGCCAGTGACGGAGAGACACAGTCAGTGACAGGGAGACAAAGCCAGTGACAGAGAGACACAGCCAGTGACAGAGAGACACAGTCAGTGACAGAGAGGGTCACAGCCAGTGACAGAGGGGCACAGCCAGTGACAGAGAGGGTCACAGCAAGTTAAGGAGACACTGCCAGTTGAAGGAGACAAAGCCAGTGGCGGAGAGACACAGCCAGTGACGGAGAGACACAGTCAGTGACAGGGAGACAAAGCCAGTGACAAAAGAGACACAGCCAGTGACAGAGAGACACAGTCAGTGACAGAGAGGGTCACAGCCAGTTAGAGGAGACACAGCCAGTGACAGAGAGACACAGTCAGTGACAAAGAGGGTCACAGCAAGTGACAGAGAGGGTCACAGCCAGTTGGAGGAGACACAGCCAGTAACAGAGAGAGACACAACCAGTGACAGAGAGACACAGTCAGTGACAAAGAGACAAAGCCAGTGACAGAGAGACACAGTCAGTGACAGAGAGGGTCACAGCAAGTGACAGAGAGGGTCACAGCAAGTTAAAGGAGACACAGCCAGTGACAGAGAGAGACACAACCAGTGACAGAGAGACACAGCCAGTGACAAAGAGACAAAGCCAGTGCGGAGAGACACAGTCAGTGATAGAGAGGGTCACAGCAAGTGACAGAGAGAGACACAGCCATTGACAGAGAGACACAGCCAGTGACAGCGAGGGTCACAGCAAGTTAAAGGAGACACAGCCAGTGACAGAGAGAGACACAACCAGTGACAGAGAGACACAGCCAGTGACAAAGAGACAAAGCCAGTGCGGAGAGACACAGTCAGTGATAGAGAGGGTCACAGCAAGTGACAGAGAGAGACACAGCCAGTGACAGAGAGACACAGCCATTGACAGAGAGAGATACAACCATTCACAGAGAGACACAGCCAGTGACAGAGAGTGTCACAGCAAGTTAAGGAGACACAGCCAGTTGGAGGAGACACAACCATTGACAGAGAGACACAGCCAATGACAGAGACACAGCCAGTGACATAGTGACACAACCAGTGACAGCGGGACACAGCCAGTGACAGAGAGGGTCACATCAAGTTAAAGGAGACACAGCCAGTTGAAGGAGACACAGTCAGTGACAGAGAGACACAGTCAGTGACAGAGAGACACAGCCAGTGACAGGGTGACACAGCAAGTGACAGAGAGACACAGCCAGTGACAGAGAGGGTCACAGCCAGTGACAGGGGGACACAGCAACTTGAAGGAGACACAGCCAGTAGAATAAGACACAGCCAGTGGACGGAGAAACGGGCAGTGACAGAGACACATTGACAGCACCAAAGAGGCCATCTTCCTCAAGGTCCTCATAGCGATAGCCCGTTCGAGGAGCTCTCAATATCATCGCTGCCACCAGTCAAAGCTCCCAACTGTGATAGTTGGCTACAACCATGTTTGGAGTTGAACTCGCAACCGACTGACCGTTATGTTTACAAACAAGTGATGTCAGCCGTGACGCCGAATACTCAAACCTCAGCTCAATTATTTTCTTCTTCTTTTTTTTGTTAATTTGAATTTCTATCTACATTCTACATAGTAATTGTCTTGTCATTGTCTTACTTCGCGAAATGCATTAAATCACGGGAGCACCTTGATTAAAACATGAAAAGATTTGGAAAATATCTGTTGACGCTAAGTTGGTGGCCCAGTCGTCTAAGGCGCCGCATTTTGCTGTGCAGAGTTGCGTCCCTTGGGCACGCCAGAAATCATGATTGTGGGTTCGAATCCCGGTTCGCCCCGATTATGTTTCTAGATTTGTCAGCACCATACCCGTGCTCATGGGTTTCACGTCTAAGGCCTGCATCACTTCGAGCTTTCCTCCCACATTAGGCTGACACGCCGTGACATAACTGGAATACTGTTAAAAGCGGCGTTAAACACAACTCACTCACTTTGTTACGCGATTTTGATTGGACAATACGTGGACTCATAAGTCCAGCCAAAATATAACTCCGAAATTCCAGGCTAGATCGGCAAGGGTGGAAACTGAACTTTCATAGTAAATTAACTCCCTTGCCTCGATGAAGAGCATCACGTAAAAGCAATCATGTTTATCAAAACGAGTCAATCACTGCAGCCAAACCACCACCAAGATGACAAGATAAGGTGGTCTGTTTATAAAGACGAGCTTATATGGCAGTGATAAGCAGGGCGTGATTGAAATGCTGACTTTAATCTATGTATTCCAAGTATCCTGATTTTCAGCAATAGAACGGGATGATCATGCACATAGGGTATTAAAAACAATGCATACCCTTCACTCGCATCATAGCGAATAGGCCACATGCCAAAGGAATGCCACAGTTACCTGCAGAACAGCGCGCGAGGGACTTGAACAAGCCAGGATAGCAAGAACTTTTAAATTGGCTGTACTAAGCTAACCAGAAAGTTGTTCGACCGGGTCAGCCAACCTGGCCATTCTGCCGACAGGCGCCGCAAGGAACGACCACGACTACGATCAACCGTGACGTCATTGTTGACAATTTCGTGCGTATGGACTTTCGTGCGTACAGACCCCTCCGCGGGATGGCATTGACCCGCCAACATCATCTCAACTGAATATGTTGTTGCCACACTCTGAGACGTTGTCAAGTACGACAATGGCAAGGAGTGAAAGACGCTTCAACTTGTACAATGCAGGATACGAGTCTGCCGTCGTCGGAATGAAGCATACGCCCCAGGAGCCTCACAGCAGGTTCATCCTTACTGTGGCAGCATCATGATATGGGGAGGCATTTGTGGTGATAGGAAGACACCGTTGGTGGGGGCAATTTGAATGCGGAATGGTACAAGAACCAGGTTTTGCGCCCAGTGATGCTTACATTCCTGCGGGCACAGCCTAAAGGGGTCCTGTTCCAGCATATCAATGCAAGACCCCATACTGTCAGACTGACCAAGGATTTCTTGAGAAGTAGAATGTATCTGTTTTGCCTTGGCCTGCATGTTCACCTGACTTGTCGAAGATAGAGAGCATCTTTGGTGGGTTCTTGGCAACAAAGTCCGCAAAAGTCCTTTAGCCCCAGTTAATCTGTAAGGAACTTCAGCAAGCCCTACTTGAGGAAGGCAAATTATCTATCAGGCGTTTGATATTTTTTTAATTTTAAATCATTCCAAATGAGTATTTGAGCTGTTTGTGTTAATGCTATTTGTGGTAAAAACGTATAAAGGTTTACGTTTGGACAACTTGGTATTTGAAATAAATATACAGAATTTGACTTTGTATTATTGCTTACCGAAAGTTCATGTATGTATATTTACACTATTGATCACCAGATTCATAGAAAATACTACATTCATTCTCGTTATATACCATAGAAAGTTCACGAGTTTCGTAAAAATGGTATCTAACGACAATGAGTGTGGTATCTTATTTATAACACACGTATGGGCAATCAAATATAGGCATTGTTGACATTTCTATGCATACGCCTTGACAACATGTTCCTGCTGTTGTGTGCGAAGACATAACAGCACGAACGCTCAAGATTTGTTTTTTTTAGAATTTCCTCAGCTTATGTTAATTCAAGCGCATTGTTGTTACTACGCAGGTCAACTGTAAGAAAACTTTAAAAGTCAATTAGCGCCGCGCTTTGAATCTCGGACCAACACTCGGTCACTCGCACCGACGGGGTCCTGGCTGTGCAAACAAAATGGTTCGGTTTCCTTGATCCATCTGCTAAATGTATATCCTGTCAGTGCCGTTTTGGAAGAGGGGCATCGCCAAAGACTTTTATGTTAACTGTACGATGCTATAGTGAATACGTAGAAATCAACAAACTCAAGTCTGCTTGCATGTTAGCGACAACTTAGAACGAAGGGCAAGGTCATCATCGGAATAAGCAAAGACAACCATGATCTGCTCACAGCGTTTTTCGCCAGAGATCAAAAGGAAATATCATATTTGGAATGTTTGGAGCCACAAAAACAGACGTTAAGCGCACCTTTTCAGAGTTTTCGAATGATTTGTATCGGAACTGTTCACTTTGAGTGATCTGATCGTGCAGCCGTGTGTGTTCCTTCATAAACAAACGCCATGAAGCAATGACACAAAATACGTTTCGAAGGGGACACTGATGGCACAACCGGAGCATCCAACGGAAGTCTAGATACATGTCCAGTTAAAACTGACTTCATTTCACCAGGCTTAACCTTTTACGTTAAATCAGATTGAAAGTGGTTGGGTGCGTCACGCTCAAAGGGACCGTCGATCTGTCGCTAGTCGTACATTGCAAATAGATATAGCTCGATTATATAATGTCTGTAGTAGCTCTATGCATAACTAATACAGACTGCAAAGCGAATTTGATGTGTGCGATTGTCTTGTTTGGTTTGATAAAGGGTGTGCAAATGTCTCTCGCTTTCATGAGACTACATCAGTTCTGCCTTGTAGTTATTAAAGATGTTGGTTTTTTTATGAATGAAGTAGTGTGACAGAGGTCGCGGTTATCCAATCAAAACGAATAAATCGAGGTCAACCTTGTTCGACACACATGTGACGTACGGATTTAGTATCTTACCACCTGTATCTTAACCACGTGGTAGTTAATTTCAATATGCTATTCTAGCTGAGGATAAGTTTATCAGAAAATGTCCGTAACAAGTCAACAGGTGCAACACTAAGAAATTCATGAAAACTAAGCTTGAACGTTTGCCGAATTGAGTGCAGAATTTACAAAAGCAATACCGCAGAATTTTGATGTTTTGGCCGCGACAGTGGAGAATGTGCTATTATTTTATTGGCATTTCAACATGATGCATACTTTCTTTTGCCCCTTAGAATATATGTTATATAGTCATTCCCTTGTATTTGTTCCGTAATGATGTTAGGACAGAAAGAAAAGAAAATATACATTGTTTTAGAAATAAAATTTGTTTATTGAAAAAAATAATAATAAATTAATAAATTTGTAAACAAATCTTTACCACATTATAACATGTCATTAATTGACCTAAAAAAATATTCCATACAATTGTGCATTAATATACATGTTCCAACACCTGCTGACATCCATTGCTGGTATTGTGAATTTCACAGGAGTTGTTGCATTTCTCTTTTCAGTCTCAGATCATAACCCTGATTCGGTATACCTCTCTGCATCATGATCTGACAACCACGGGGAGACACGTCAGATACATAGTTAACGAATCAACATTTAGGATGTGTGGGTTTTGAGCAAATATCAGCTTTCTGAAACAATTCGGCTCCACTGGCAATCACATATTAAATAAATTCGCATGTCGCTGATTGATAGACTGCTCTGAAACTACCAGGGAAGTCATATGCGCAACACAGGACTCCTCCGAACTGAATTACTGATTAGGTCACCTTCATACAAGCTTTGTCTGGTCTTTACGGAGAGAAATATCGACATTGGGAGTAAAATATTTGAAAGCTTTTTTATTTTTATTTTTAAAAATAGCGAAAGTGTAACTTTTCAAAGCCAACTAATAAAGGTGTCTTCATCTACTTACTGACTGTCTAAAGATATTCCAAGTACATTGTCATTCATTTCTTTTTCAAAATGGACTGTAATCTATGCCAGTTAGTCTGTGACACGAAGAGAAAATATATGTCAAATTACATCCGCATTGATGTCTCACCTCTACCGATAGTGTCAAAGATTAATCGGACATATTATATATATGAGGTGGGAAAGGTGGACGCCATTAGTAAACTAACAAAGACAAATGTCGTGTCACTTCTAATAACAACATCTGTTATGGCAATTATGGCTTAAAACGTGTCGTTACATTACGTCTCTCGACACACTTGAAATGTCACTTATCTTTCTTCAGTTGATTTCTGCAAACATTCTCGAACGCAGAGGTGCGACCCATGGCCGCACCGGATCCGCTAGCGATTTCAAATCTATTTCATTTCGATTATGCTCTTTGTGAACCCGAACTAATGCCGCGTTTGTAGTGCTTGCCCACTGAGATACCATGCCGCAGATTATCATGTGTGTTACACCCAATCTGTGCAACTGCCCATTGCGCGCTTATGGTTGTTTGGTTGTTATTTATTACAGTTTACTGACTTAATAATAGTTTACTTTATTAAAAACCAAACATGTAAAACAGTACTAATTTCAATTGCGTGTTTTGAGGAGAACAATTACCTGCCCATTGCGTGAAATGAGCAAGCTGGTTGCCCATATTGTGAAATATTTGGAGAATTATTTTTCATTCATAACTATTGCCCATTGCATGCAATGAGAAGATAATTGTTTGCACATCGCGTGCATTGGGCAAGCTGTATTGCTCATTGCACGCATTGGGTAAACGGTCTGCCCAGTGCACGCAATGCACAGTTGCACAGATTGGGTGTTACATATACACTACTCAGACACATTAAACTGATTCCTAGCCGACCCTTTCTTGTTGTGTCCCTTAATGACGAGCGCCAGGAATGGTGACAACAAGTACCATTCTCAACGCCTTTTGTTATAACGAGGCAGGGGATCGCGCAGACATAACATAACTGGAAAGGACGTCCTAATACTATGTGGCAAAACAAATTGAGCATATATCACAGAGTACCACTGGTGTCAGGGGATCAAGCGGAAACAGCACCGCGTCAAAATGGTAACACATTAACCAAACCAGGCGTCGTTTTCGCCAATCTGTTTTTCGCTATCGGTTCCATTTCTACACATTGCAGTTTTAGCTATAATCCGATTCCAGCACCAGGGGTGGCGGACACAACATGTCACGACTGGCCTGGTTGTCAAAATCATCGCTTATCTATAACGTTAAAAGTAATTGTTAAAATAAATAAATGAATAAATAATAACAAGACTAATACGGTTCTCACTTATTGAGGACTAAGCTCTGGATAACTAACAGTCAGCACTTTTGATTAAAGTTCTTCGAGGACACTTTGTTATTTATATGTACATCCCAAACACACAGACAATGCTTCCTTTTCACGCCTTGCATTAACTGTAATGCAGAGAAGTAAACTAGAAACAGGCAACAGACTGAGATTTGTCCCTCTTTCAAATGAGCAATAACTACTCCTTCTCTATGTAAAGTTTAGTCGACCAGTAACAGATGCCAGTAGCGATCTTCAGTAGATAAGGTAGGTAGCCAACAAGAGGTTGGAGTTTGTCGTCATGGCCAGCTATCCGATACACAAACAAATTATCTCTCTCGTTGTGTAGTTCAGTGAAATTAAAATCTTGTTTGCTGGCTTGGTCGAGGCGAGATTGCATTTTATCAATGTCCAGTCTGAGCTGTGGTTCACGTAAACGTGTGATACTATCACAGAATGCACACATTGAAGCGTTTAGAACGTCTCCTTCCTTCTTCAGTTCACAGAATCTATTCCAGAATCCATGAAACTGCGTCATTTTGTCGAAGTTGCGGCAAAACGTTTTGCCATTTTGGGGGAGCCTTTTAACAAACTCAAGCGTCTGTTCAAACTGAGACATGTACACAATCTCTCGAGGCACGAGGCAAGGGAATGTTAGCTGCACAATTTTAATAGCATCGAGAAAAGACTGGAATTGTCTGTCAAACCAATCCCTGTAATGAAGTCTCAGACTGTTCAACCGGCCGAGGTAACGACGGAAGTCGTCCTTGATGCGGTCAAGCTCCATCTGCTTCTCGTCAAATCTCGTGAGAACCCGTTTCTTCATTATGGCGTCTTACCTGTTGTCAAAATTAAAGTTTGAATTCAGTTATAAACAGTGTCAAAGTGTTGAAACATCACATTAACCGTCTGAACGTCGCAATTAACAGTATTCCAGCTACATGACGGCATCCTCTTAATAATCGAGTCCTGACTAGGCTATCCAGTTTTTGATATTACGACCATCGATCCACGCCGTTGGGGTACAAGCTATGAACCAAGTCGTGAAGACGGACCCTCCGATCCATTAATTCGCATAGGTTGCTATGGATCTATTCTAATCTATGACTTATGTGACATTAAAGGAATTATAAAGCTTTGAGTCATGACATAGGGTGGTGGGGTAGCCTTGTGGTTGATTCGTTACGCTGAAGATACGGGTTCGATTCCCAACATGGACGCTATGTGGGAAGGACATGCTATGCCTTGAATATTGCAGAAAGCAACGAAAACAAAACTCTCTCACTCACTCTTACATATAATTCAACACATACAACAACCTAACATTACAGAGGAGAAGGCATGTGACCTGTCATTTATACTATGCGTTATATCCACGAATATCTTTTGTACTTAACTAGAAAAAAGCAACAAACAAATAATTTTAGTTCATACTATAGTTTTTCATTTTTATCTTTAGCCTTAGGGTAGTGGAGTAGCCTAGTGGTTAAAGGGTTCACTCGCAAATCTATAGGGCCGGGTTCGACTCCCCACATGTGTGAAGCCCCAATAATAGTGCCCCCCTTGTCATCATATTGGGTGAATATTGCTTAAAGCGCCGTAAAATCCCATTTACCGACGCGGTCCAATCGCCGTTTTGTCATGTACCTAAAACACTTGACACAATTCGCCACGATATAGACTAGAGTCGGACGGTAAGTCGTTCAGCATAGTCCAAAATCAAATCGATCTATCGAACGAATATTGAAGTTTTTCGGAGAATCTTTTTCGGGTATTCTGATAGATTGGACAAGGCATTATTTCTGTACAACTTTTACGGTCATTCATAATGCTGAACATTAGTAATACACAGAGGGTTACCGCCCCGAAAAGGAAGAAACACTTTGTGCAGGATGTACGACGATGTTATGCCAAACTAGGGAGTAGTGATGTAAGGTGTATTTAAGTAACACCAATGGGAAGAGGTGAGGTTAAGTGAGACCCGGGAGTATTTCAGCGGATATAATATAATTCCGATTGTAAAAAAAAAACGTCAGGAAAATTATCTTCACTCAGTCATCGAACAAAGGTGATCAGCAATAAGGAACCTCAGGAACCTCCGAACATTAAGGATGGCGACAATTATGGCACCAGTTCTCTGTCTAGTACTCTCACGGTTCAACTTTATAATCTCGCCTTGCCTGAAATGCTCATGCACCTCTTGTTCCTTTCGATATCGTGATCGAGATATAAAAATACTCCACGTGATCAACTGTCGATTTCTAGCGCCTCCTGCAGTATATCAAACACTCATTCCTACAATACTCAGATATTTAATACATTTATTACCCAGCGATCGAACTGTATACACTTAACCCTTACGTGGAAATGTATACCTAGTGAACACCTGACTCACACGGTGTTTGTATTGTCAATTTAACCAGAAATAAAACAGCTCAGTAAACGGACCCGTTAACAACAATGGACTTATACAACTTGTAGGCTTCAAATTTTAACACAAAGCCCAACTGACCATACCCCAGAGGTGAAGGCATTGTGCCATGCGCCAGCTACTTACCCGTCTACGTTAAATGGAGAGAAGAGAGTATTACCTTCCAAAGTCGAGCTGCTACGTGTTCAAACAAAGCAATTTTTTAACAGCAACCCGCTGTTGATTATGTTTCTCAGTGATATTCCCTGGCGTATTCCAGGTGTACAGTGTCCAGGTATTTTGAGGAAACGGGCCATTAAATGTCAAAAGCGATTTTGACACCATAGCTACGTTTATCACGTTAATCCCTCATTGCCCCTATCCCCATGATGTTTCCCTGGCGCATATCGCCAAACCTCAGTTTGATTGCTAAATCAATATCTCGCAAGGGCTGATTAGGTTAAGGCGAGACGACATAGGGACGAAAATAAACGCGATAAAATACCTTACCATTGCGTGAATTTATAAATAAGGAAAATGTTGATTAACATAATAATAGATATATGATACCCTTTTTGTATGCACAGATAACGATTGTAAGTTATATTGATATAGAGTGGGACCTATTTCCGAGAGATTGGACACCACTTTTAACAGTATTGTAGTTATATTGTGGCATGTCAGCCTAGCGTGGGACGAATGTCCGAATTTTTACAACTCGTAGACGTTGAGCTTTATGTGAAAAACGCGAACACTGGTATTTTATTGAGAAACCAAGAAACAAAATTATGGCGAACCGGTCTTAGCTTCCTGGCAGCCGAAGGGACGCAACGGCAGCAACGACGTCCCTATGTATGTAAATACATAAAACAAATGAGCGTGTAATCCTTCGCCGACTCAACATACTAAATCAGGGACTTAACACGTGGAAGCATAGGAATCTAACTATCCTATAGTCTAAGTGTCCAGCGACTCTGGTATTCGTCTATGTGATCTGTAAGACATAGGATATTCTTGGGGAAATCACTCAACTGTCAACCGACTATACAGGTGTACTGACGGTTATCCATCCGCTGTGCGTGGTGGCAGAACACTAAATCACAGACTGTCACTTTATTTAAGGTTTTTACTTGTTGATAAGACGCGGAGAAAGCATTAGCTCGATCACCGTGTTTGAACTGAGAAGATATATGGTCATTCACTTGTACAGTCGAAATGAGACCATTGTGGTTGGTGACATTTTGAAATATTACCCTGCCGTGTACAATACGCCGGCCCACTCACGGTAGCAGTGGAAGACGTGAATACCTCTCACTGTGTACTTGTAATGACTGGTCATGCAATGACTCGCCCTGTGTTGAAGACATTGTAATAAGCGTCCGTTGTAATATGCTACTGTACAACCGCTGTCCCAGACTGAACACGGAAGTTATATTGGTAAAGGGTAATTATTTTTAAAGATGAGCTTGGTTCGGGTTGATTGTCAGCTCTAACAAGTCGTACTTATTAAAAACCAATTGTGTGCGCCTGCTATCTCAAGTTTTAGCATGTAAATCAGTCAGGCAGTTGATGGTTACCCTGTTTACACAGATCAATGTCGCCTGTAAACACATTGCGGGGATTGCAACGTGTATACTCAGGCAGGATATGAGTATTTTACCGTGGTACATATAGTTCCCATGCAATTGTGAGTGAGTTTGGTTTAACCCTGTTTTTAATAGTATTTTAGTTTATTACGGCCTGCTAGCTTGTGTGTTGGAGGAAAGTTGAAAGTGAACAGGTCTCAAAGGTCCACTTGGTGGACTCCATGTGTAGGGGTATGGTGCTGATAAACTTAGAGTGAGTGAGTGAGTATGGTTTTACGCCGCTTTTAGCAATATTCCAGCAATATCACGGCGGGGGACACCAGAAATAGGCTTCACACATTGGTCCCATGTCGGGAATCGAACCCGGGTCTTCGGCGTGACGAGCGAACGCTTTAACCACTAGGCTACCCGACCGCCCCGATAAACTAAGAAACACGGTCGGGACGGATTTTAGGACTGAATCAATGCTCATAGGATCCTGGCATGTTTAAGGGACGCAACTCTGCACAACTAAGTGCGACACCTGATCTCCTGACCCCCGTGCCCCCTGACTCACGATGGTCGACGTCTTGGTGTAAATACCACATAATAGACTCGGTGCTGTATGGTTTTGTATACATTCATATATATGTACGTATATAGGAAAGGCTGTTGTATGGTCGTTATTCTCGCTTCCATGAAGCCACGTGAAGAACTACTCCAAGTGCATTTAGTAAGTACTGCCATACATTGTCAACCCGAACTTCATTTTCAGGATATATCGTTTAAGACGATGTGACTTTTTAGTCTTGACACAATCCTTATCAATATGATTGTCTTATATCAGAACGCCTGTATCGAACTACGACATCCTCGAAATGGACTCGAAGGTCAATAGGAGTTCGAGTTACCGAGGTTTCGCTATACTTGGCTGATATCTGCTTTACAGGTTGTGCAAAAGAGATGTCATCAGTGCTACTCCAAGTTATAAGATTGTACCAACAATCTATGGGCTGGACTTATCGTGTGTTTAGTGGCATTTTATTGTTCTGCATTTCTATTAACGTTACGTTGTTGTTATACCTTGTTAATCGTGGACCAATCGATCGTTTTACTTCATCAACAATAGGGTGTACGTGTAGTACTACAGTCCATAAACAAAACCCTTTCCACGGTGATAAATCTCTGCTGACAACAGAGTCGAATGTACCATACCGACTATCTCATGATCATGTGTATGAATCACTATCAAATAGTGATGATATCAGGTGTTCAACAAAAGGTGGGCGTTTCCTGCACACGTCACAAATACATGCAAAAGCAAGCCAAATGTTCACCTAAAACAACACGGGAACATGTGGTCAAAATAGGGAATTACATCGGACGTAATGTTGGTCACGGTTGCTTCAAATTTGGAAATGTCCTCTCCACATCTCCCATAAAACTTTTTAAAGTGTTACTGGGACTTAAATGGTGTAGCCTTGAACTTTTGATCAAACCACTCCATGGACATGATAAGCTGTTCAAGGCGAAATAATTTCAGACCCAACAGTAACCATTTTACAGAGAGACTACTCACCACTCACATCCTGCTAGCATCCAGATGTAATTTAAGCCTGGTGTGACAGATATTGTATATGTATACTAAGGCTAATAGGTACCTGCTAGGTTGGTATATACATCATTAAAGTTTCCGTTGGCAATCACACAAAGTGGGTCTTTAATGACCTGAATCAAACTTGCAGGGACTGCCAATTGACCCGAGCCGAGTCCCCCTTTAACGGCACTGTAAGTATAGGTACTTCGCTAGTGATATGTTGCTGTCTGACCGTGTCACTGTCGTAGTTGTTTGTTAGATAATTATACAGTGCATGTCTGAGGGTTGAGGGATATGTACTCTGGATTCAACAGGAGTACAGATGCATATCTGTTGTACCCTGACCACCGCTGTGTCGTTTTAATGACATTTGTCGGTTGTCAGGTAGTCGAGGGGCGAGCCACTAGATCTTGTCACGGCTGTTTATAGAGCAATATACATGTATACTTGTTATAGCATTGAAAGTAAGGGGCGGTATTCTCGAAGCTATGTTTTGTCGCAATGGCCTGCACTTTAAGTCTAGCTCTTCATTGAAAGTGAGGGGTGGTGTTCTCGAAGCTGTTTTTTAAGGCGTTCTGACCTACGGGAGTCTCCCTCTGCATCTAAAGCAAGGGGACGTGTTCTCGAAGCTGTGTTTTGAAATGCGTTATGACCTACCAGTCTTCCTCAGCATTTAAAACAAGTGAAGGTTTTCTCGAAGCTATGTTGTGTTGTCACGTCCTGGCCCATCTTAACTTATCGATTTACAAGCATCATACCATCATTGCTACTTGGTGAGGGTATAAACGATTTAGAAGAACTATCTGTTCTAGAAAATGTGTGGGTAAATGACGACGTTCGTAATGAACAGTAGCGTCGATAATTTATTTAATTGATTTTGGAATATAATAAATGTCATTTGAAGATTTCACCCCAAAGGGAGCTGACACGCTGTAATGCAAATTAAAATAGACATAAAACTATCTGACCTAACTGTAATCCTTTGCGATCGATTTGCTTATTACCGACATTATTGTGGCTTGACATTGATGTGAACCATTTTGACGGACATGTTGGCGAAGTGGTCTGAACATTTACGTCCACAGATTAACCTCAGCTGTGACAGTGTTGTACACTCTATCTAAACCCTTATACCATACACGGCGCCTTATACAAAGTACTGAGTAGTGGTCCGTATCCACAAAGAGATTATAAAACTGACCCCTGTGGTCACTTGCACAAAAGGGGAATAGATCAACTGCGAGTGTAAAAGTCTCCGATCGCCTTGTGCAACTGGCCAAACAATGTTTGATGGTTGTCGGAGCCCTGCTGTCAATTTATAAGTTGGGCCCAAAAGTAAAAAGCCACTAGTGGGTCATCGCATGAACGGCGATCAACGCTATCGGGTCACGAAGACACACGTACATGAAACACCTCCCACACTGTTACTGCCCGACCCTCAAGCCATGCTCAGGACAAGCACGGGATGTCTTACATCTATGCATCCCAGAGTCCCCAGGGGCTTTGTGTGTGTGTGTGTGTGTGTGTGTGCGTGCGTGCGTGCGTGCGTGTGTGTGTGTGTGTGTGTGACTGGGCCACACAAACCATTAGATACTTGTACAATCAACAAATCAACAATCAACACTTTTTGGGGGTACGAGTACGACGAGTGAGTGAGTGAGTTTTATCAGTCTTTCAGTATATCAGTTGCAGATGCACGTCTTAGATATGTAACACGGGTATGTCGCAAACAAACCTGACAAACCTTAGCCATGGCGAATCCGGGATTTGGGTATGTCGCAAACAAACCTGACAAACCTTAGCCATGGCGAATCCGGGATTTGGGTATGTCGCAAACAAACCTGACAAACCTTAGCCATGGCGAATCCGGGATTTGAACCCACAACCATACGTTTCTGATATGCCTGAGGGACTCTAATTACAAGGGGCACCCTTTCCGACTTTTGGATTCTGGAGAGGCGATTTCTATATATTAATAATTATTCATAGAATGGGGAATGAGTGTTTTCTTTTACCCAAAGTATAAATGTTAACACATCCGTGAAACTATCTCAAACTATTCACCGCACACAAGGAGCGCATGTCCCAGGAACAATGGGACCCTTGAGCTACAATCAATTGTCTAACTGTCTGATGTCAACACATGATACCATTGCAGGCATGTTATGTACAAGGTGTAAATACATGACGGTCTACAGTCGAATGTGCTGTAGGCTGCTTGGAATCTGATGGCATTCAGATATACATGTGTTTGGCTGCATCAATATTTACCAATTACAAAAAATGGATTTTGGCGTTGATGACGCATTGTTGCTAGGCAATATACGGAATCGTTATCAAAGCAATTTTTTATATAAGTAAAGGTTGCAAGGGAAGCAGCTATTTTTTATGTTTATAAAGTATCAAAGGAATTCAAAATCAAACAAGATGCAGCTTAATTTGTTTTAATTGGAGCTAAAGACGCTCCAGGCTCGTCGTTTTGCAGATCGCCTTCATTTTGCTGGAAATTGCTAGGTGGGTCGTTAGACAAACAAACAAACAAACCCTATTAGACCTGCGTGGTTTTTCTAAATTCATATGTCGCTGACATAACGCAACCTTGTATAGACTTAACACTGTACAACCAACCGTTCAGTTTCATTCAAATCATCAGAACCTTAACACTGGTCTACAGTTTTATGTGTTTTCTGAATACATATCCCGATTACTAAAGTCGTTTACTTCTTAGAGATTGGTCCATCAAGAACTATTATAACGCCGACATAAGACGAATACATTATTTACTCCTCAGTCAAGCCGTAGAGTGAAATGGACAAACCGACACTGTGTTACATTGTACGTGTATTAAATAGCACAGCCGGGAACCTTTCATACGACTAATAATGGTAAAAGACTTTCACCCTATATATGCTCCACCTTGCGCCCTGACACACACACACCTCCGACCTAATGCTGATCAATCGCTCCCCTGCGCATTCTTATAGTTGGACTTTCCTGCTGACTACAGAACGCGTCTTGCCATACGTGAGACCACATACAAACAACCTACTTGATACCGTGTGTCCGTTACCCGACCCCCCCCCCCTCCTTTCTATTCACGTACATGCCCTAGTGACAAATAGCTAAAGTCAATAGTTCGATTCTCTCACTCCTTCTCACGGAGTGGCAGTATTTGATTTAAACTTCTGATATCGATATCGATTGATAGGTGTATTGTTTGATCTCATCGAAGTTGATATCAATCATTGAATTCAATTTGAAATGTCATAAAAAAAATTACGAGTAAAACTGTTCTGTATTGACTGTTGTATCGAGGACATGATAAATATGTGCTTTTATATTCTAGTCATGCGTTATTCATAAAAATGTTTTTTAGCTTATTCAATGTATGATAATGAATTGTCGCATTTGATCTGTTTTATGAAAAAAATCAAATATAAAAATATTCATATATGATATGAATACCCGAAAGTATGTAAAAATATAGTTATAGCGTCAAATATCACTTACGAATAACAATATGTATATACTTTTTAAAATACTATATTCCTTCAACTAACCATTCATTTAAATATTATTCACCATTTGGTTATTAATCAGAAATATCCTTAGTTGCATAATAACAAACAAAATACCGGGTATTAACAGTGATATGTATGTAATACTTACATAACACACGTGACACAACCTCTCCTTCACACAAATGTCTTTACAGAGAGTGTGGTAGCAATAGTGAAGACGCCGCAAAACACTCCTGGTTATTTGGAGCCATCAAGCCATCTCATATAGTATGATTGCTACCAAGACAGGCGCTTTCACTGGCAGACAAAACGTCGGCCTGTGTGTCTCAGGTTGACAATCTGCCTCTGGGAGACCTGATATATATCGGAACACGGCCCGTGTTTTGTCTGCACACCCCTTGTCTCGGGGACAAATACGCCTATCTCCGCTCGATCGGGTTTTCAACAAGCATTATTGGAAAGTTAAAATGCCTGTTGTCGCTGCTTAAATTAGAATGACCCGTGGGTTGGATGGGTAACACTCATAACTGAATCCCGTTCCAAACAGACAAAAGGAATGTAAAAAGACAATTTACCTTTAATGATATTTTTTTTCTTTTTATATTATATGATTATTCTGATAACACGAGAAAGGAGCGGGCGAGATTGCCGCGCGATACGCGTTCATTTTCTGACCTGCCACCCCTAGCAACACGTCGACTCACCCTCCTTGATCTCAATCCAGCGTCAAATGGATATTGAATGAGGTTTGCGAAATATGTAATCAGCCGTTTCTGTCTATTTTCCTACAACACACAAAGAGAGCTGTTATTGAGTAAATATAATTAATAGTTACTATATCAGTTTGCAATAAGGAGGGAAACCTTGAAAGCAGGTTTGACATTACACGGAAGTTTCGGAAAGACAAACAACACATTATCGTCAGGGCGTGGGTTAAATCAGAGATTAATTTGTCAAGCCCCAAATGACTGTTCCTTCTCTACGAAGGGGAGGCATGTTATGGAATCAAGGTTGTTAAAACAATCCATTACAAAACAGATTCTTGCATAATCTAAATCTCACTTTTTTACGTCAATAGCACTTCACATATGAAATAGAAATATGCATTTTAAACGTCTTTAATTCGAAATGTCCTGGGACATTTTCAAACAGTGAACGATCATTACTTAAAATATTTTGGGCGGTGTATTAAATAAAAACTTCAAGCAGTGAAACCTCTTTAACTTGATATGTTTTGAGATACGTTGTTATGTAGCAGCAGATATTGTTGTACGTTAATTTGTAGTTATTGCAGTGGCAATACAATACTGAAGCGCTTTTATAGCCAGATTATAGTGGCAGAGATCGTCAGCGAGTTACCGCCCCTGGTTATTCTTGACAAACAAGGCAGTCTTGATCGTTCGAGAAGTTTCGGTACGGACTTTTTCAAAAGGTTGGCTGTACCTGACGATTCGAAGCTTATAACGACCTGACTTGCATCTTTAATATTCACTAACCCCGCGTAGGTCGGATACCGATCTGAAAACACCGATTTCCCCGCTTCCAACACTATTCGAGATTCAAGGACAGAGAGAGTCCTGTTTCAAGACATTCAACAGGGACAAGCCTGAACTTTCGTGAAGACACCGACATATAATGTATAATAATCCACAAAAAAGCCTAGCCTGGAGGAGTCTAGCCTGCCGAGCACGGCCACCAATCCACCTCGTCGACGTGAACAACGTTGCTGAATTTCACCTCACCTGCACATGGAACCAGCTGCCACTCGTTCAACAGAATAGTCACATTACAGAGTGTATACTGCACAATACCCACGTACTTATTTACTGGTTATAACAATGATCCGTTCGGTATTACGAATTACTTGGTTGATGCATGTCATCGTTGGTTGATGCATGTCATCGTATCCAACTGCGTAGATCGATGCTCATGATGTCAATCACTGGATTGTCTGGTGCAGACTCGATTATTTGCAGACCGAAGTCATATAGCTGGAATATTGCGTGTGTCATTAAACAACAAACAAATAAAACTAATTAAGTTTCAAATTAACAGCTCCGAATAGGATAAACAAATATTGTAAATAAAAGTGTAATTTGATGTATGTCCTCGTAGGATACACATGTTTTAATGTAAATGTCAGTGACCCTTCCTTTACCGGGTATATACATCTCAACAGAAAATAGGGATAATCAATTGTGTGTTCAATATTGTCCCACATTTCCTGCTTCACATTGAAAGGAGAGAGAACAAGATCAATGTCGACCGAAGGAATATTCGTTAAACCCACTCACTCACTGAAGGTGTTGGACGTATCCAAGGTATTCGTCGTTCAACAAAGTGGTGTGCGTCTCAACGTCGTCACGGGTAACTGAACGTTCATTTATAACGCGGAGCTGTGAGCTTATCCGTTCATTTCCCTGCTGTATTTATGTATTTTGAATGGGCCTGCTTTCACGAACTAGCGGCGATTGCACTGGTATTCAACATTGTTAGCGTTTGTGTTCACAATACTGCTTCTATATGAATGCTGATAAAGGTTATATTCACATAGGAGACACTTCTGACGAGCCTAGCATAGACTTCCTGTTAGAATATATCCCTACCTGTCTGAATGAACATCAGGGGAAACCATGGTATTGGCCGGCCTTGTGGCTGGGAAGGAGCGGGTTGTGGGTAAGAATGAAGGTTGTATGTAAATACTATTGTTTCATGTCATTGCCTAACACTACAATGACGTAATAGTGTATATTATATAGTGGGTGGGAAGGAGCGGGTTGTGAGTAAGTATGCAGGTTGTTTGTCAATCCCATTGTTTCACGTCATTGCCTAACACTACAATGACGTAATAGTGTATATTATATAGTGGGGTTGCCGGGTTAGGACAGCTACCCAGTTATCTATGCTTGTCGTAACGGATCGGGAGGTCGGACTCGGTAACTTGGTTGATCGTATCATCGTGCTCCGACGACAATGCTCATGACATCAGTCACGGTTGTCTGGTCTGTACTCGATTATTTACAGGCTGCCGTGTACCTTGATTAAGGAGACTGTAAACAACAAACATGTAACAAAAGATACCCGGAAGTTGTATGCGTCATATCATAATAACACATGTATGAATCATGTTTTATTATGTCGTACTATCAGCGTTTTCCGCGGGCAAATAGATCCCCAGACTAAAAAGATCGGGTGGTCAGACCGGCAACTTGGCTTACTGCGTGTCACCGTGGATCATCGATCGCGTTTGCGGTAACTGTTTGAGACTCACTTTTGTACATGCTGTCATCATATACTGTAGTTGCAATATAGTTATCCAATAGCTCGTGACCGCCTCCGGATCTAGTAGTAAAGCGTCCGCCTGGAGAGCGGATGGTTCGGGGTACGATCCCCGGCAGCGTCATACCAAAAGATGTTTAAAGATGGTACTTCTTGTTACCCTGTCTGGCGCTCGGCATTAGGGGACTAATACAAGAACTGGTCGACTCGGTGTCAGTATACGTGTAGGAATGGGGTATTCATGTTAAACTGCGAAATGGTATCTTACTGGGCTAGTAGCATAAAATCGGCATTTGTTCGGACTAGTACAAGCAGCCTCATACAAACGCATTCAATTCACGTCGCTTTGTAAGTGAAATAATCTTGGACGCGACGTTAAAACCCCATTTTACCTCACATCCAATTGCACGTCGTAATGGTGGGCGAGTGATTATGGTTTTACTCCTCTTAAGCAATATTATAGTAATATCACAGCATTGAAAACCAGAAAATTGCACATTGTACCCATTTGGGTAATCGAACCCAGATTTTCGGCGCGGCGAGCAAACTCTTTAATCACGAGGCTACTCCACCGTCCCGCTTGTTGTAATAGACGACTTAAAAGGGCGGGTGGAGAGGCAGGTGACGTAGCTGATTGCGTGTCATCTTACCCCGATGACATGGATCATCACGCAGCAACTGGTGTACCAGGCCTACACTCGACTGTGTGCAGGTTGTCGTCACGTGGCTGAGTTAATATCATTCTCTCGTTCGTGTCCACGACTATGTTCCAGTTCCCCTGGAGAGTGTGGACGTGTCGGTGACGATCCACGGATTCCTGGCGAACGTTGACGCCTCTCTCACGTACCACAATGCCAGATCTGCAGCTCTGGATGTGGTCTTTGTGTACGTTGTGGTGGACAACGGGGCTGTCTACAAGTTTGAGGCCGACATCGACGGGAGGCAGATAAAGGCAGAAATTCAGGAAAAAGTACAGGTACAGAAGAAAAGTATCATTATTGTGTCAAGCGATGATACACCCATGTCGATGAAGCTACTGTTTCAAAAGTTTGAACAAAGGGGTTTGGGGGGGGGGGGGGTTAACAGTGTTTTTTTAAATATTTTTATTTCAATTCAGTAGACATAAATGTAACATTGGTACATGAGGTATATACGTGTAGCAATTCATAGAACCTTAAAACATGATCAAATAACATAATTATATTGATTGACTGAGAAATTATAATAAGTAGGCTGATAATTCCTTCCATTTTCTGTCGAATCTCTTTATACTACTATTTTTCATTGCGATGAATTTTTCTATTTTACATACATCTTTCAATATTTTTATGAAAAAAGAAAAGCATAATGGAGTTTTCTTAGTGCTTGACTGGTGAATGTATTTTTTTGTAAGAAGAATTATGTGGTTGAAGAGGTAGTTGTTTTTGTTGTAGCAAAATAACTTATCCAGAATGGTAATATGAATATTATATGCAAGTTTCGAGTTTAGGTACATTTCAATTTCTAACCAAAATTTCTTTACAAAAACACTTTCTACATACACATGGTATACGTTTTCCGATTCAGAGACACAAAATGAGCATATATCATCATCTATTAACTTCATTTTCAGTAATTCCTTTATGGTATATAGAGCTCTATTTATGAATCTGCACTGGAAATCTATTAGTTTAACATCATTGGTACACAATCTACAATTAGAGATGATGACTTTGATGTTAACCATGGAACACGGTTTTGTCAAGTCATACATGCTCGCCTCAGGCTCGGGTGTAACGATTTAAATTGGAACGAGTTTACTCGACAGCTATTGCCTCACTCTGAATGCCTCTATTGTCAGCAGTGTGAAGATTCTGTCCACAACCATTGTGCTTGCCCGTTATATAACAATATCAGACAGAACATGTATTATTATCTGAATGGATATAAACTCGGTTTATGAGTTAAGATCGGATATGATCTGAACGAACTAATATAAAAATTCTTCAACCTGTGCTTCTTGTTTTCAGACTGATTTAAACTACCATAATTTGATTCATTACTATTTCTTTCCAGCACACACTGACTATATCATTGAATCCCTTGACTCTATGGCATGTGAGAAGCTAACCATGTTATCCCCAGAGGCATTCAAATAAGCCCACAAAGCTTGTTTGCCATGTATATTATCATGGAATAAATACATTTAAACCATAAGATTAATTATGACCGTGGTGACTCGTACATTGGTGAAACCTCCCGCCCACATATACCCACATCAAACAACATAAGGTTTCAACAGCCACAGCAGATAGCAAATCAGTCCTCTCAGACCACGAGCAAAAATTCCCTGTCCATTGGCATTGGCACAGTCAAACCTCGAGGAATTCACTAAAAGAAAAATCTCAGAAGCTATAGAAATCCACCGTCACAAACCTTTGATCAATAGAGATCAAGGGTATTATACCTCGTTTCCCGATGAAGATCTAATCAAGCAAAAGACTTTTTAATTAATATCCAGTCAGCTTGTCACAACTTTTTAATCCGTGTGCTATTTGTTATACTTACAGCACACCTGGTTTCAGCCAATCATCTGCGTGCTACCTGTTATCCACCCGTTGTTGTTAATGTTAATCTGCTGCTTATCACAACATGTCATTCATATACTTTTTACTTAATTGTAGTCACTCTATTATCGACATGATAAGTCGTTGGGCGGTCGGGTAGCCTAGAGGTTAAAGCGTTCGCTTGTCACGTCGAAGACCCGGGTTCGATTCCCGACATGGGTACAATGTGTGAAGCCCATTTCTGGTGTCCCTCGCCGTGATATTGCTAGAATATTGCTAAAGGCGGCGTAAAACCATACTCACTCACTCACTGATAAGTCGTATATGCAATAAACCAGATTGTAAGTTTGTACGTTTTTCTTGTTCTGGAACAATTTTAATTACAACTAAGCTTTTCGATCAAAGTTTCATCCTCATAGGCCTGAGTAGTTGACTAAATATGACACGTCGCACACCGCCATGGTACTATCCCACACAAAGACCTTAACATGGAGTTTCCACAGCTCCTTGCTTACTAATGAACATTATACGAATGGCGGGTGCTACCGGTAGAACAGGACATGCTCACCCTTTCGCGAACATCTGAGGTCATCACTGATCCTTTCCTAGATGCAATCACAATTTCGATCACGCCCTATGGAAACTGTTTCTGCATATGTGTTACATTGATTCTTCTCTGGCATTGGCGTTTTGGATTTGCAAAATCACTTAGGTTTCAATATGTTGTACAATGCGTTATATTCTATAACGGTGTACCTATTTCATTTTACAAGTTAGCTGATTAAACAGCAGTTCCACTGATTGGCACGTCTTATTCTCTAAACGCGTTTTTCGAAGGAAAATGATAAAGAGACTGTAATATGTGTTTTTTCAAACTAATTGGTAAAATATCTCTCAGGCAGAATTAACTTACGAAGAAGCTACGGCTAGAGGCATGACTGCTGTATTGATGGAGGAGGAACATGATGCTACAGCTAGGTGACATCTTCAGATGTAAGCTGGGTAATCTTCCCCAACTCTCGGACGCCAAACTCCAGTTTTTCTTCGTCACGGAGCTGGCCCAGGAGACTGATGGGTCCCTCAAGTTTGGTCTGCCCACGGTTCTCAACCCCAGATATTACCCTGAAGGTACAATCTCAGATATTATCCTGAAGGTACAAACCTAGATACTGTCCTGAAGGTACAATCCTAGATGTTATCCTGAAGGTACAATCCTAGATGTTATCCTGAAGGTACAATCCTAGATATTATCCTGAAGGTACAATCCTAGATATTATCCTGAAGGTACAATCCTAGATATTATCCTGAAGGTACAATCCTAGATAATATCCTGAAGGTACAATCCTAGATATTATCCCGAAGGTACAGTCCTAGATGTTATCCTCAAGGTACAGTCCTAGATATCATCCTGAAGGTACAATCCTAGATGTAATCCTCAAGGTACAATCCTAGATATCATCCTGAAGGTACAATCCTAGATATCATCCTGAAGGTACAATCCTAGATATTATCCTCAAGGTACAATCCTAGATATTATCCTCCAGGTACAATCCTAGATGTTATCCTCAAGGTAAAGATGCATATAGGTTTGAACGAAGTGTATGGTGTTGACAGGACGATCATAGGATTCTGGCATGCCTGATCCCATGAGGGACGTGAGTGCGCGCGCGTGTGTGTGCTTGGGGGCAGGGTAACTGTTATAACGATATAGCGATAGTGTGTCATCGCACAGTGATAGTGTGTGTCGGAGCTCATGCTACACTCCATAGCCGCCATACCAATTGCCAAATAGCATAACATTTTCTCACTCTCTTTATAAATGAGTGAAAATGTTCAAACATGTTCTTACTACAGGTAAAGACAAATAGACTATGTTTGACCTGTTCGCCAGAAACAGTTGTCAATACAAGCTACACTTCAACGGGTCAGTTGGTTCAAAACATGGAATTTCTAGAGTGTGGTAAAATACTGACAAGTTTATCACTACACTGATGGCTGAAGACAGCAACACGATGACGGTAGGTGAACGTTCCACACTGGCTCATGTGCATGCATCTACAGAGCAGTGTGCAAGCAGTGTGCAAGCAGTGTGACCATGTGGGACATAAGGGATCGGGTGGCCCGGCTCGGTGGCTTGGTTGTATGCGTGTCAGCGTAGCCGACGTCGTGGATAGTTGCTCATGATATCAATCACTGGTCTGTTTTGTCCATACTCATAAAACATGAAACATTTATGTTAAATAGCTAACACAAAATTCATGTTAGTTTAGTTGTAATTCTATTTCACAGATTGGCCTTTCTGAAGAGTTTAGACCCAATCACAGTCTGTCATTCAGCGTATTGTACGAGGATACCCACAAACCACAAGCCACGCTGGAGAAGGGTACCGCAGGTAGTTGCCATTGGTAGATCACCGCCCAGAAATTAGAAACTTGTACCAGCACAGAATGATAACATTCCACATTTCTGGTATATTCAACTCGCCCTGAGTACGGGGGTACGCATGTGTGTCAAAATCCAATGATCATGGGTGCGAATCCTGGTTTGCTTTGATTAAGATCCTAGGTTTGTAAGCACCATAACCTTGTTCGTGGGTTTCACTAAAATGGTAAATGTCAAAGGGCTACATCACCTCCCACGTCAAGCTGACACGCCGACATGAAACACAGTTCAAGGCGCAGTTACTCCAAACTCACTCACCCTCTATCTGAGGTAGACCAATGTCGTCACTTATCCCCCCAGACTGTCTAGGCACGCTGTTTGAGAAGGATATCCTCATGCTCTCCTTCTACCCGGATCTAAGCATCAGTACCGAACAAGTAAAGTCGGAGTTCATCTTCATCATCGACCGATCAGGTAAACCATCTTAAAACACTCTTGATCTTCGTCATCGACCGATCAGGTAAACCACCTTACTAAACACTCTCCATCTTCATCATCGACCGATCAGGTAAACCATCTTACTATACACTCTTCATCTTCATCATCGACCGATCAAGTAAACCACCTTACTAAACAGTCTCCATCTTCATCATCGACCGATCATGTAAACCATCTTACTTAACACTCTCCATCTTCATCATCGACCGATCAGGTAAACCATCTTACTAAACACTCTTCATCTTCATCATTGACCGATCAGATAAACCATCTTACTAAACACTCTCCATCTTCATCGTCGACCGATCAGGTAAACCATCTTACTAAACACTCTCCATCTTCATCATCGACCGATCATGTAAACCATCTTACTAAACACTCTCCATCTTCATCATCGACCGATCAGGTAAACCATCTTACTAAACACTCTTCACCTTCATCATCGACCGATCAGGTAAACCATCTTACTAAACACTCTCCATCTTCATCATCGACCGATCAGGTAAACCATCTTACTAAACACTCTCCATCTTCATCATCGACCGATCAGGTAAACCATCTTACTATACACTCTTCATCTTCATCATCGACCGATCAAGTAAACCACCTTACTAAACAGTCTCTATCTTCATCATCGACCGATCATGTAAACCATCTTACTTAACACTCTCCATCTTCATCATCGACCGATCAGGTAAACCATCTTACTAAACACTCTTCATCTTCATCATTGACCGATCAGATAAACCACCTTACTAAACACTCTCCATCTTCATCGTCGACCGATCAGGTAAACCATCTTACTAAACACTCTCCATCTTCATCATCGACCGATCATGTAAACCATCTTACTAAACACTCTCCATCTTCATCATCGACCGATCAGGTAAACCATCTTACTAAACACTCTTCACCTTCATCATCGACCGATCAGGTAAACCATCTTACTAAACACTCTCCATCTTCATCATCGACCGATCAGGTAAACCATCTTACTAAACACTCTCCATCTTCATCATCGACCGATCAGGTAAACCATCTTACTAAACACTCTTCATCTTCATCTACGCAGATGGTATCAGGTAAACCATATTGAGCTGTTTGAACATTTATTTCTATGATCCCTTGGTATCTTTTAGATTTTCTCACATTTGTGTGATTCGTAACGTTCAAGTAAAATACGTCAAATCTAATGAAACAGCACATGTGCCATCTCAGTGGTTCAGTGTGGTTGTGGTAAAACACTCACTCACTTACACATACAGCTAGTATGCACGGGCAACCTATCCTGAACGCCCAAGAGACCCTGCTGTACTTTCTGAAGAGTCTTCCCGTGGACTGCTACTTCAACGTCATCAGCTTTGGGAGTTCCTGTGATGCTCTCTTCCCCCAGTAAGTTCTGCGCAATGAAACAATCGGTGTTGAATACCATTCAGGCATGTTGAAGGTGCCCATGGAAAAAATAAACAAAATTTACAAAAAGCCAAGAAATGCCTTAAGAAATCAATGAAAGAGAATGTATTTCTTTGACCTTCGTAGCAATGTATACTTGTAAATGTGCCTAGCTATGGACTTTAGCAGTGAGGCGATCTAACTCCCACACTTTAACATAGACTTACGACGACCGTTGCGCTAGGATCCCTCTTTGTAGAACGGGGCCATGGTAATTAAAACCGAAGGTTTAGTGGCATAGGAATGGTGGACAATAATGATGGATCACTCAGAGGATAGAACTCTTATTTAAACGTATGGATGAGTGGAAATTTATAATACTGTTTTTGGTATGAGCTATATGCCTTTTGCAGGTGCATTAATCTTCTGTGTCCACCATAGATCACTTGATGCCCTTTTGTATACGTATTGGAATCAAACAGAAAGTGCCACCAAAATTTTGTTTTACTTTCAAAGCGCTGTACATGTCTTTAGATGAATGCCGTCATAACTCGTTTCAATAACACAAACAAATAGGTGTGTGTGGGTGTGTGTCTGTTTCCGTTTGCACTAGTCCTGGCTTAAGCCGGTTTTATAGTGTTCGCTCACTGACATACCATGCCGCAGTTTAGCATGGATGCCCGACTCAAACACAGTATACTGACTCCGAACCGACCAGTAGAAGCGACTAAATGGATCGGGTGGTCAGACTTGGGGACTTGATGATTGCACGTCGCTCAGTATATGAGACACATTAATCCAGACCGTCGTCATATCGCTGGAACATATTGCTGAAACACAAAGCAAACAATGATATTAATTTTACGTGACTGTTAGAGATTGTACATTGAATGACTCACTGTACTTGGTGCACCAGGAGTGTACGATATGGACAGTCAACTCTACAGAGGGCGATGGAGCTTCAAGCGAGTCTGACGGCTAACATGGTTGGTACAGAGCTGGTGAAGCCCCTCAGTCTAGTGTACAGCAGGCAACCCCAGCCGGGGTATACACGCCAGGTAACCAGCGCCGTCTTGAAACCTATAATGGAGTTATCCTATAGTTTCACACCCACCATAACCTTGTATTATAAACCTCCAATGGAGTCATCCTATAGCTTCCCTCACACCGTATCCTTGTACCATAGACAACCAATGGAGTCATCCTATAGCTTCCCTCACACCGTATCCTTGTATTATAAACCTCCAATGGAGTCATCCTATAGCTTTTCTCACACCGTATCCTTGTACCATAGACAACCAATGGAGTCATCCTATAGCTTTCCTCACACGGTACCCTTGTATTATAAACCTGCAATGGAGTCATCCTACAGCTTTCCTCACGCCGTATCCTTGTATTATAAAGCTGCAATGGAGTCATCCTGCGGCTTCCCTCACACCGTATCCTTGTATTATAAACCTTCAATGGAGTCATCCTATAGCTTCCCTCACACCGTATCCTTGTATTATAAACCTCCAATGGAGTCATCCTGCAGCTTTTCTCACACCGTATCCTTGTATTATGAACCTCCAATGGAGTCATCCTATAGCTTTTCTCACACCGTAACCTTGTATTATAAACCTGCAATGGAGTCATCCTATAGCTTTCCTCACACGGTACCCTTGTATTATAAACCCGCAATGGAGTCATCCTACAGCTTTCCTCACGCCGTATCCTTGTATTATAAAGCTGCAATGGAGTCATCCTGCGGCTTCCCTCACACCGTATCCTTGTATTATAAACCTTCAATGGAGTCATCCTATAGCTTCCCTCACACCGTATCCTTGGATTATAAACCTTCAATGGAGTCATCCTATAGCTTCCCTCACACCGTATCCTTGTATTATAAACCTGCAATGGAGTCATCCTATAGCTTCCCTCACACCGTATCCTTGTATTATAAACCTGCAATGGAGTCATCCTACAGCTTCCCTCACACCGTATCCTTGGATTATAAACCTCAAATGGAGTCATCCTATAGCTTCCCTCACGCCGTATCCTTGGATTATAAACCTCCAATGGAGTCATCCTATAGCTTCCCTCACACCGTATCCTTGGATTATAAACCTGCAATGGAGTCATCCTATAGCTTCCCTCAGACCGTATCCTTGTATTATAAACCTGCAATGGAGTCATCCTATAGCTTCCCTCACACCGTATCCTTGTATTATAAAGCTGCAATGGATTCATCCTATAGCTTCCCTCACACCGTATCCTTGTATTATAAACCTCCAATGGAGTCATCCTATAGCTTCCCTCACACCGTATCCTTGTACCATAGACCACAAATAGAGTCATCCTATAGCTTTTCTCACACCGTATCCTTGTATTATAAACCTGCAATGGAGTCATCCTGTAGCTTCCCTCACACCGTATCCTTGTATTATAAACCTGCAATGGAGTCATCCTACAGCTTTCCTCACGCCGTATCCTTGTATTATAAACCTCCAATGGAGTCATCCTATAGCTTCCCTCACACCGTATCCTTGTATTATAAACCTGCAATGGAGTCATCCTACAGCTCTCCTCACGCCGTATCCTTGTATTATAAACCTTCAATGGAGTCATCCTATAGCTTCCCTCACACCGTATCCTTGTATTATAAAGCTGCAATGGAGTCATCCTATAGCTTCCCTCACACCGTATCCTTGTATTATAAACCTCCAATGGAGTCATCCTGTAGCTTCCCTCACACCGTATCCTTGTATTATAAACCTCAAATGGAGTCATCCTGTAGCTTCCCTCACACCGTATCCTTGTATTATAAACCTCAAATGGAGTCATCCTATAGCTTCCCTCACACCGTATCCTTGTATTATAAACCTCAAATGGAGTCATCCTATAGCTTCCCTCACACCGTATCCTTGTATTATAAACCTCAAATGGAGTCATCCTATAGCTTCCCTCACACCGTATCCTTGGATTATAAACCTCCAATGGAGTCATCCTATAGCTTCCCTCACACCGTATCCTTGGATTATAAAGCTGCAATGGAGTCATCCTATAGCTTCCCTCAGACCGTATCCTTGTATTATAAACCTGCAATGGAGTCATCCTATAGCTTCCCTCACACCGTATCCTTGTATTATAAAGCTGCAATGGATTCATCCTATAGCTTCCCTCACACCGTATCCTTGTATTATAAACCTGCAATGGAGTCATCCTACAGCTTTCCTCACGCCGTATCCTTGTATTATAAACCTGCAATGGAGTCATCCTATAGCTTTCCTCACACCGTATCCTTGTATTATAAACCTGCAATGGAGTCATCCTACAGCTCTCCTCACGCCGTATCCTTGTATTATAAACCTGCAATGGAGTCATCCTGCAGCTTCCCTCACACCGTATCCTTGTACCATAGACCACCAATGGAGTCATCCTGTAGCTTCCCTCATACCGTATCCTTGTACCATAGACCACCAATGGAGTCATCCTATAGCTTTTCTCACACTGTATCCTTGGATTATAAACCTCCAATGGAGTCATCTTATAGCTTTCACATCGTACTATTACAATCTCTTTTGTGGTTATATCTCATATTTGGCAAATGTCAGTTTTCATTACAATCGTAAACGATCATATGTATGGTTACAACCCTGATTTTAGCACTGTGCACGTGGCTATTGTTAGTCTCTGTTGAGTTAGACGAGTTTTACCACGAAGACCAAATTTAGTTTTATGGTTCTTCGCGTCATTTCACACCTCTAAAATGTATTGTATTTTTAAAAACGCAAGCCACTTCAAACCACGTGAAAACAACAAAGTCGAATGGCAAAGCGAGGAGTTTGATCACAGGTTGGGTGGCCAGGCGCCGCAATTACTTGTGCACAATTGTGTCAGTTAGGTGTGTCATGATCCTATAACCGTGGGTTGGAAAGATAGATTATGAGCATTGGTCTTTCAGCACCATAACCGTGTTCATGGGTTTCACCAAAATGATAGACGGACAGACTGACAGACAGGTTGTCCCACCTCAAAAATAAAAATACATTGAGTATACAGTAAAAATATCAATAAATATTTGAGCCACTCCTATGTGGAGTTATGAATAACTATTATATAAATGTATAATAAACTAAGATATTCGTAATATATACAATCAGTTAAATGTAAATGTACAGGAAGACATGTTAAAACTTATACATAGATACATAAAGTTGGTAACGGCTATATACAAAGATTTTCGCTTTAAAAGTATAAAATGGCAGGTTTTGGCAGTAAGAAGGCAAACATCGAGGTTGGATAATATATAACTTAACTTTAGTAGGTCATTAAAATGTTAAAACATATCACATTCTTCATCACTTGTTTGCGTAACAGTGACCTTTCTCTAGTAAATAACGGACAGTTTAATGGGATATGACATTCATCCTCAACAACATTTTTACAAAACAGACATACTCTTTCGTATAAAACAGTCCCATCATAACGCCGAATAACACGAATAGGGGCTACACCACATCTAAGACTTGCTAATACTCCAGTGTGATCTGACATCTACGATAGCGTCATTTCAGGCTTAACTTAGATCGATATGATGTTCACTACTTAAAAACTCAAGTTTCGTTATCCTAGTCAAGCAAAACGCTGACAATAATTATACATGACTGGCACGAAATACTAACCACAGTGTCCACACAAACTTTCTTTATATCAAGTTTCCGTTAACAGTTGAGCAATACATTGTTGGATCCTACAATGCATCACTCCGGAGGTTGGTGTAATTTAGGAATGCAAAATAGAAAAGGCATTGTATCCTCAAATTTTAGAATTGAACACTTTTAGAACAGGTTAATCGTCACTGCATATATCTTGCTAACAGAACTGCCTTTAATAAGACTAAGATCCTTGATGGGACAACTGATGTTTGTTTGTTTGTTATTGCTTAACGCGGCACCCACATTCCAGTTACTTGACGTTGGCATGGATATGATCGAGTGTGGACCACAAAAAAAACAGTCAGTGATATTATAACCAAAACCCACGCAATCTTCCAAGTCACCAATCCTGACCTCCCGATCCATTTAGCCTCGTACGATGAGATTACCATGGCAGGGACCTATACGACCCCGGAGTGATGTGATGTGCTGTAAATACATGTAACTGATGCTTTATCGGTGGTAGTGACATCATTAATAAAGATAGGAATACATGTGGTTACTTTCCAGATGTTTCTGTTAACTGATTGCGATGTCTTCAACATTGCTGACATTGTATCACTCGTGAGGAGGAATGCCCCGGAGAGCAGGCAAGTACATAGATGTGTTTATAGAGGGGTATTGCAGTAAGAACTCAGTTCCGGTCCTTGGCTCCGTTACACGAGGGGAGCACGGGTGGCCCAGTCGTCTGAGGCGCCGCGATTCGCTGTGCAGAGTTGCGTCCCTTGGGCACCCCAGATTGTGGGTTCAAATCCCGGTTCGCCCCGATTATGTTTCTACGTTTGTCAGCACCATACCCGTGCTCGTGGGTTCATTGAAGTGGTAAACGTCCGAGACCTGCATGAGCTCGGGCTTTCATCCAACAATAAGCTGACACGCCGTGATATAACTGGAATAATGTTAAAAGCGGTGTTAAACCCAACTCACTCACTCACCGTTACACGAAGCGACCGTACCTACATACAACTAGCGTACGTGTTTGTTAAATTATAGAGTACTACGCCTAGAAGCAATTAAATATCTAAACCTTCAGTATACTTTCCAATTCTGTCCTAGGGTGTTCACAGTTGGTATTGGGGACGCGGTGTCGCTGCCGCTGGTGAGGAATGTGGCCACGGCTGGACGCGGTCAGGTGGAGTTGGTTACAGGAAGTGACAAGCTGCAAGAAAAGGTATATAAAGTATCTGAAACTGTTAAATGCATTTCTTCAACATACTGTTGTAAGTTAGTAAATATCAATGTATGTCTTCAGAGCTACAGATAAGCAGCGTCTTTGTGTAAAATACCCTTAAAAATATTCAAAACCCAACACATGGATGTCACCTCAAACTTTCCTTTAGTTTATCTGCTGTAATCTCTCCTTAGGGATATAAAAGAAAAGGCATTTTATCTTAATGTGTCTGCAGAACAATATCAATATCAGTTTTTGGATTTGTTAAAAAATGTTTCAAATCCCATGGGACCCGTCTTCAGTCAAACTTTGATACGACCTTTGTGTTATGTGCTTCTGTGATATCAGCTACCAATGTCGACGCCAATCTGGCTACCTGTGTTTACTGTGTCCACAGGTCATGAAGCTACTCAGACATGCAATGCAGCCCGCTGTGACGGACCTGGTCATCGACTTCCACCTTCCGGCTGGCCTGGCAGTGACTCATAGACTACCCCAAGACATGCCCGACATATTCCAGGGCCAGAGGTGCACCTTCTATGGCTTCTTAACGGGCGAGGTAGGGCTATAAATATGCTAGGTAATACATCGGGTAACCTTTGGATGGCTATTCTTTGTTTGTTTGTTCTTTTACGCCGCACTCAGCAATATTCCAGCTATATGACGGCGGTCTGTAAATAATCGAGTCTGGTCCAGACAATCCAGTGATTAACATCATGAGCATCGATCTACGCAATTCGGATACGATGACATGCATCAACCAAGTCATCGAGCCTCACAAGACAATCCCGTTAGTCGCCTTTTACGACAAGCATAGGTTGCTGAAGACCTTATCCAACCCGGATCTTAACGGGTTGGATGTCAATGCATACCTTTGTGTTGTCAATGGGCATTTTAATAATCACTTGTTTTACGGATTATTGTTTTAAACGTTTTGTAGGTGGTCAGAATTTTAAGCGTAACTTCTTACAATAATACATTGTAGAGTGTGCAGGTACAGATGGAAGTTCTTTAAACTCTTAAGAATGAAAAGTTTAAGACCTGGAAAACATCTTTTCTTTACGTATTGATATTCTCTGTTATCTGTAAAATGATGGTCGTCAAAGCAATTGTTACAGACTCTCTGTCTTATATCCCATTCTCAGTTTCAATGTAAGCTACCCAATGTGTTTATAGTATGACATACAACAGCTTTGTTTACAGATGCGGCCTGACACTTCAACCGTTGGGAAAGCCACGATGTCAGGTAGAGTTGGCGGAAATACGTTCACCCACACAATGACGTTTGACGTCATGGGCGACGCTGTGATGACGTCCGGGTACTTCGTCCACATGCGGGCCATGAAAACCATTGTCGACGATCTGGATGATCAAGAGAGAGGTAATGGATTTATCGTGGGCTCGGAGGTTTAAGCAGCAGCAATTTACAATAAAGAGTTGTAAGGATCCGGTGATTATGGAGTCAAATTCTAGATGTGACCCGTTCATGATACTTGAATGGTACACTCTGCCCGTACAAGGACAAATCCGCCTTGGGATGGGGATGTAGGCTTTAAACACTTTAATACATGAGGATGTAGGCTTTAACACTTTAATACATGAGGATGTAGGCTTTAACACTTTAATACATGAGGATGTAGGCTTTAACACTTTAATACATGAGGATGTAGGCTTTAAACACTTTAATACATGAGGATGTAGGCTTTAACACTTTAATACATGCCAATTCAATATGCATGTAGCGAGCTCTTCTTCTATCGGTGTAAATTTGGGAAGAACCTTCGAAAGAGATTTGGTTTATAACAGCACAATTATTTCGAAAAGCAGTTTAATACCGTATGGTATTTTCAGGAGCCCCAAAACCATCATTGCTTGCTAGTGACTTCTTGCTTTAGATATTATGGCGTTTATAGTCTCCAATAAGCGAATTATTCTTTTAATTACCTCCAACAATAGACGAAAAAGCCGTATGGTATTTTCAGGAGCTCCCAAAGCATCATTGCTTGCTGGTGACTTCTTGCTTTAGATATTATGGCGCGTATATACCAATAAGCGAATTATTCTTTTGATTACCTCTAACAATAAGGCGAAAAAGTCCTAATATTGGAAATGAAAATACAATTCAATTGAAATAATGTTCCAGACTATGGTGCCAACAAGAGAAGGGAGATAATCGTTGCGAGTATGGCTGGTAACATCATTTCAAACTACACGTCGTTCGTTGGCATTGATACAAAGACGAATGAGAGAATATATGAGCCGGTCAGGACAGACGTACCGCTTGTTGCCATGGCTACCGAGAAGAATGAGAAATTAAATCAAGAGGTCAAGACAGAAAGACTATTACCAAAATGGCAAATATTCAACCGAAAAATCCCTAAACCAAAATGGCGGTATGCACCTTTTCACCAATGAATAGTACTGTGATCAGAGAATTATTGGTCTTCTCGTAAAACACGTAAAAGATAAGCACTTGCACAGCGGCATGGAACAACAGTTGTCCAATTTAATACTAGGGGAAAACATTTTTCCTCAAGTTTTACCACACAAAATCAAAATTGTTCGCGGGACATACAGGATGTCCACGTAAGTTCTTGAGAAAATCTTGTATGACTTGAAGTACTGACCGAAAAAAAGTGTCTCCAGCCCGGTCGGTACCGATGATATCGGTAAAGATTCATCATTCTGACCCGATATGGGGCGCTGCAGTGGCCTAGTGGTGAAAGCGTTCACTCGTCACGCCGAATTCCCAGGTTCGATTCCCCACATGTGTAGAATGTGTGAAACCCATTTCTGGTGTCCCCCGCAGTAATACTGCTGTAGTATTGCTACAAACGGCATAAAGCCATACTCACACACTGATGATCACTCACTCTGTTCTAATAAAGTTAGACTGTTAAAGGATACATCGAAAGTTCAGCGATCAAGACCTCCATGGGAAGCCGAAAAATCATTTCACCAACGGCTTTTTCTTGTTCAGACATTTGGTTTAACAAATATAGGTAATCATGGTATAGCAATATCAACTTTCCGAACTGTGTAAAAACGACAAGCTGAACTTGTTACTTGTTACTGTATCTCGTAACAGAAATTACAAGTTAAAATTAGGTTAAAAAGGGCCATTACTCTCATATTGTCTTTTTGTTTGCTTATTCTTTGGATATAACCCTCTAGGGTTTCTTCTTAATTATATTTTGGAGTAGGAACAACGTTTATTTTTCAAAATGCAAACTCGATTGTCTCAATTAACTGAGAATTATTAATGAATCAATCTGAGAAACTCGAATAGTTTTCCATAGCCATAAAAGGATGCATGTGTCCAGTTGCCAAAAGCGTCCCTTTGGGCGTGCTAGACACCTATGATCGTGAGTTAGAATCCCGAAAACCCTGGCTTTTCAGCACCATACCTATGCTCGTAGGTTACAGAAAAGTGGTAAACGTCAACCACCTGCATCACTTCTTGCTTTGCTCCCAAATCAAGTTGACAGGCCGTAATAGGTGCTGAACCTAACTCACTGACTCACTACAAACAAGTTCTTGTAACTGAACAGATTTGCACTTTGACAAGTTGGGATACGTCGGGTGTTTGCGGAGGGCTTTCCACCAACATCAGACTGTGTTTAATGTATTGAATTAAAAAATTAATCCGCATGTACCGACTTATTAAGAGTTCCCGATAAAAGAATCATGGCTCCGAAACAAAACCCTGGAATATGGTTCCAGATCGTTGAGCATCCACCTGTAAAATACAATGTTGCATTCACTGTGCATTTCATTGTCAGGAAAAGGCGTACATTATCCCAGGAACTCAAACTTAATGTGAAGTTCTCCCGACACAAGGATCCGGTTTGTGTCAGCAACAGAGACGACCTGGCGGTTTATGGTCACCAATCCACATATTCAAGTAGCTCCGCAAGGCCAAGAACCAAACCCCACAGGTGTCTTCCACGATGTTCCTGCTTTTCCTGGATGTTCCCATCACCCAGGACAAAGAGTATGGAAGAAGATGTTGAGAATAGAAGTATATGTGGAGTGGACGATGTCACACTCGGCGACAGCGCCCATGAAGAAGGGGCGGACAGACCTTGTACAGGTACATTTGTGGTCAGAGTGAGTGAGTTGACGCTGACAGTTCTTTAGCATTGCTGTAGACATATCACGGGTGGACATCAGGAATGATCATCGGACATTATGAGATTCGAACCAGGTCTTCGGCATGATGAGCCAACGTTTCTACCACGTGGCTAGCCCACTGATCCTACCAATAGAGTGAAAGAAATAACTTCACGATTATTAAACATGGGATGTGTAGTGATCGGCATAAGCTACGGCCAATGGTGACATTTTAGAAAATTGTTTGCGATTATTTGAAAAGAAATCATGATCTTCTAATGTGTTACAAATTACAATCTGATCCAACAAACAATTCATGCTTATGCCTTCCTTGGAGGATCAGTTTCAGTATCTTTGTTGAGGTTTAACAAGCTGTTTATCAAAATATACATTAAATGCCCATCAGTAAAAGTTAGTCAAACATGTATCACACATGACGAGATGTGAATATCATCAGATCTGTACCAAATGTTTCCAGTGTGTGTTTGTTTGACTAGCAATGAACGTGAGTGCCTTTCTATCCAATTTGGCTTTTGTAGTCATTTAAGCGTGTACAAAATAGTTTTCTTCAGTTGTAGCAAAAGCGAGCAGGGTGGTTGCGTTGCAGGAGTACGACGGTAGCTGGTCGTTGACTAGAGAGCTTGCTGACGTTGTGGATACAACCAAGGATACACTACGAGACAAGGCATTTTCAGTGGTAATGCCGTCTTTCAACAACATACGTGGATCTGTGTTCAAGGAATTATTATTATTATATTATTATGTTATTCATCCGTAGTGAATGCGAAAGCAGTCATAACATAGCATTCTGTTCGGTTCTGGGCAGGCATAACCTTACACCAATAGACACACGAACAATGTGATTAAGTTCATATTTTACATTGACCTTGAGTGAATGGGCACTAATATTTTATATATTCATGGCCTATATTCCAGGACGAAAAGGTATTGGCGACTGGTCTGGCGATTTGTTGGTTGACCTTGAAATGTGCAGATGATCGGTCAGTGTGGGAGATGGTGGTCAACTGGCTGGTGGGGCAGCTAGGACGGAGGAGGTGGACAGTCTTCTTGGGGAGGCTGAGAGGGTACTGTCTTTATAGAGGCTGCCAAAGAGGAAGCCAAGGAATGTAAATTGAGTGCATAAAGTCATTGGACTGGATGGTACATGGTCAAGTAGCAAGGTGATCAAGGTGACTGTGTGAATGATTCACATTCACCAATATTTATCGCATCTTCCTGTATATAGTCGTCTAGACCAGAAAAAACAACAGTGGTTGTGATCACAAGCAGTGTACCACACTGTCAGGATACAGGGATACGGTGTTACACATTAAACCAGGTCACTGAGCCTGAATACCTGATCCATCTGAGTCGCTTAGCATGAACAGAAATGGAGGGCTAAGGACCTATTCTAACTCATGCGATTGGGTAGAGGAGACGGACAAGTCCCTCAAGATCATCAGGGACACTGCGTTTACTGATGATGACAAGGACCATGAACTTGAGCCGAAATCTCACACCACCGAAACTGAGAAACTGCTTCAGATACTGGAAACATGATAATCTTTGCATACTCCGAACAGGGTATGGATGGTCCTCACAAATAATTTCGTGAGCTTTCAGGAAAATATCAACGATGTAATGACAGGACATAGAAATGGATCAAATGGGGAACTGAATCTGGGACTTCAGAATGAGCACCTTAAACACTGGTTCCTGTAATACAGCTCAATCTGCATCCAGTGCATTTCCTCAATGGATGACACTTCTCTGGAGCTGAAAATTGAGTGACAGAAAGAGACTCAATCAATCCAAAAGCCTTTGTAAACACCTGATGTGGACAATAGATATTTTACAGTGAGTGCAGAAAGGTCTTCGAATTGTGGACTACATTTTGTTTGAAATGTTCGTAGTCTTGCATTTTTGGCAGAAATATGTTTGACGTTTCAGCTGCTCTTACCAACAGGCTACACTACAATCCTCGCAAAATTGAAAGGAATCACAATTAGTTGTGCAGAGTTGAGTCCCTTAGCCACGACAGGATCCACTGACCATGGTTTCACTTCTTCACCCTGATTATGACCCTTGGCTGTAGGCATCATACCATGCTTGTGTTTCACTAAAGTAAAACATATCTAGGACCTGTGCCATTGACTGCGACTTTGTGTGTGCTGTTGACTATGGAGACGTCACTAACAGGTAATAGCTCACCACTGAACATATGACAAATAATTCAGACATCAGCAACACAATGGTAGCTTAATCAATAATATCAATAAAGAACAAATGCAGTATAATTATTTATCAATTCATCATTTTTACAATGGTACATAGTAAGCAGAGCATGTCTGTAAAATATTTTAATCAAGGTCATGTGATATAAAAAATATATCAAATCTGGTTACCATGACAACACTGTAGCAACATACGTTACTGACGACAACACAGCTAAATCATAAAGGACACTACAAACGTACACATTTGACAAGAAATGGTTAAATTCAGTAAATAGTGACAAAAGGAATATCAAAATTAGTTGTGTTACTGAGTATAATTTTACATAAAACCACAATGAAAACATTTTCCTTATCTGCTTTGGTCAATATCAATATTCAGGAAATATCAGTCCTGATTTATTCACCTGATGAAAGAGTAAGTATATACTCCGAAATGTGGTGTTCCTCATATTAATAAAGAAGTTGATATCCATAAATTCTCTTCCTTATCATTGTACCTTGTTGACATATATACTGGTTGAAATAGTAAAATGACATATCAGTGTCAAACGTATATGTCAAACATCACCGCCAAACATCAGAATCAAATATCAGTATTTGAATGACTATGTGCTGAGTGACATTATCAGTGGGAGCTGGAACTCCCATAAAACCTGTGAGAATTTCTGACTTTATGTACAAAGTGACTCCTGTTTCTAGATGTCATAAACATATATATGCACACATTCACTGGACTTGGATGTTGTGAAAAGTCATCATAGTCAAGTTTTACCTAAACATATTGCATGTCTTGATAAAATGCAGACTGATAAAGTATTGTCTCGTCTCAAGCAAAATACCCAGAATATTACATGGTTGGAACGTTATTGGCTGTTAAATTGATACATTTCATACAGATATCACATTTGGGTCTTGAATGATCTGAATCAAAATTAGCTTGGACTGAAAACACTCAAGTGACCAAAACTCTACTGTAGCCACGCAATGTGAATAAAACACAACAGTATAGACATGTATACGGATGTGGAATACAGGAATCTACAAATATGTATAAAAAACAATGAAGGACTTAGGGAACATTCACTGACATGAGCTTCTTGCGCTAGAGTGAACTCTCTCAAAACTGGAGATGGATTTAGCTTCTGGCTGCAATATCCTAATATTTGTTGGACTTGATCTCATACAGTTGCCATTAGGTTTCAAACAGTGTAATAACTTTGATATATTTGCACATTTTGATATAAGGCAATTCACAGCGCCAAATACTCAAATTAAACAACATGGCACCACATTGCTTCATTGTCAATAGCAATATGTAGACACCATCTCTTTTTCATGATGTCACCAACTGATAATGTCAATTTTGACTCTACTTTATTTCCTACTACTCCTATGAGTCATTACCCCGAAATAATTCATTTACTTGTGACAGGTAAGCTGAATTTCTTTGTATCTCATGCTCTTATCAAACCAGCACATTTAGGATGCCACCTCAGACAAAGCTGTGGTGCCAAATGATGCCAGTATAGAGAGTACTGGTCCCAAATGATGCCAGTATAGAGAGTACTGGTCCCAAATGATGCCAGTATAGAGAGTACTGATCCCAAATGATGCCAGTATAGAGAGTACTGATCCCAAATGATGCCAGTATAGAGAGTACTGGTCCCAAATGATACCAGTATAGAGAGTACTGGTCCCAAATGATGCCAGTATAGAGAGTACTTGTCCCAAATGATGCCAGTATAGAGGGTACTGGTCCCAAATGATGCCTTTTTAAAGAATTGGTGCCAGTTTGAGTCGAAACCAATGCCAGATTAGTCAAGAGTGTTCACTCAATCACAAATATTACACGACTAAGACTGGCAGAAATGGAATACAAATCTCCACAGGCCTTGAAGAACAGGGGATAACCTTGTAAACATGTTCAGAGTTGTCACAATATCTCAATGAGTGCTAATCTTTCTGTAACATATATTTGGCAAGAAAATACAGGCCGTTGTGAAGGACATCTTGAAAGTGTCAAATTCGTAGTCATCAATACATGCAGCATTTATGAGATATTATGTCTAAACAGGTCCAATCAACAATTAAATGACTTCTTGGAAAAAGTATTTCTAAGTGACTGGTGATGTGTTTATAAAGTGCTTCTGGAGACAATTAGAATGTTGGAATCATAACACATTTTTTCCTTTATCAATGCATCCAGCACAAAGAAACACAGTAAACATGACACATCTGTATTACTATTTAAAAAACCCAAACAGACCACCAACAGATGGGTTTTGTCAGATTTTCAATGTCACATTATTAGAAAAATTATCTTGATTTTTATCCTGACAAAAAATGGAAACATCTTACTGAGTAAAAAATATCACACTGAAAATACAAGAAACTTTAACACATGGCATATTAATCTATAATGTAAAATATATTTTGAAAAAACATACAGTTGACATAGCACTGGGTGGTGTAAAACATTGATATATTATCAGTTTTATGCTCAGCTCTACATCAATTATGCTCAAACTAATTATGAAATCATTAACATGAATTGGTGTAACAAAATGTCTGAAATCCCCAAACATCCTTCTTCAAAAGGCACATACTTCCCACAAATAAAGTCATGTGTGAATGTCAGGGTCAAGGACACACAAAATAAATTCCTTGTGATGATACAACTAATAAAACATATCAGTTGAACATACTATAAACAAATATACCCAAAACTGTTCCTAGTAATGTCAACAGGACTTGCTTCAAGTACATCTGATAGGTGTCATAACTTTAAACATAAACACATTAATCTCACCATCAGCTTTTGCCTATGAAAACGTCCTGACCATGTTTGTTCAGAAATACCTATCACAATTTACCCTGGCATTGTATACAGGTTCAGGTCATTTTATTCTTTTGGTTTAAAATCCACAAAACATTACATGTAAATGAAGTATTGGATTAAAATATTTAAAGTATTGAATCTGATCAGTTATAAAGTCAACTGATATCAAGACAGTTAAAAAACAGATTTTGATTTTTTGTTTGTTATTTCTTTGAACGGTAAAAACAAGTCGAAACTGGTTGCAAGTTAGGAAAAATAAGATATATACTGTACAGGGTAGTAGACAACTACTTGCAGACCAGTAGTAGACAAGGCATATAGGAAAAGTAATAAACTTATACTATGATGTATGATTTGTTGTGAGGAAAGCAACTCCATTTAACAGGTTATACACAAATAAAAAATACAACTAAAATATATGTCTACTAAGGTCTATTCTCTGGTTATCATAATGTTCCTCTTTCAACATACCCTGGATAAGGATACTGACATATGTATCATACCAGTACAAAACTACTTCTATGGTAATATCAAATACTATTTGTAAGGCAACATCTCAAAGCAGTCAGTCACATTTAGATCCATAACGGAATAATGGGAACATCCAGAAATTGAGTAGGATAATTGAAACATAAGTTGTAAAAACAATGACTTCCTTGTGTTTATCATTATGCAAACTTGCAACTGACCAGTCTGCAAAATTCATCAAATATGTAGAATATTTTACAACCACAGAGTAGCATACTGGATTTCTTTGTTACCCGATATGAACGAGATAAAACATGGTCAAGAAATCTAGTTTGAGTTTTGACTTCCATAAACTATCACAAATTATATAGCATCTGTATTGTATTTTATGCAGTGGAGATATATGTTCATTTGTAACCTTTATAGTCAATAACATTACTAAAATATACTTATTATATGTGTATAAGTACTAAATACATAATGCAGTCATTTGAAAATAATTGTTTGTTTTCATTTTACTTCCTCTGTTTCTGGTAGGATTTGTGTCTTGACCGGAATGTTGTCATGAAGGTGGGCCTAAACGGGGATCAGGTGTCCAAAATGGCTTCTGCATATCGACAGTGGATTTGTGGCCAACTTACAAAACCGTCAGACTTGGATCATAAGATGGTTGCAATACTCAAGGCAAAAGTAACAGTGATCATATCAGTTTATTAACAGCTAATGAAAATAATGATAATATACACTATTATGTTCTCCAGAGATCAGGATAGCGTGACATCACATTGGGGTCCAAACGAAACGTCCATCTCAACATTTGTTCAATCTAATGTACATCTCAAATTGGGAATGAAACTTCAAGACATTATACCATAATGTTTGTTAAGAACACAAGAATTTCTAGGCAGAACTGGATTTGTATAAATTATATTTTTAAAGTCTCCTGTTTAAGGAATCCCTCTGCAATCCTATGGAGTCAGCCCAATTAAACACCATGGCACTTTCAAAGGAAAACAGAGGAGTTTGAGTTATGTGGTTCTAAGAAATCACAAACTGACAAATAACAACATGATCACAGATACATTTGCTGGTGAGCACAACAAGCTCAATAAAATATTGTAGACACTTCCTCTTTTGGGGGATGACATTCAAAGCCCTCTTAAAACATATTTCAGAATAAACAGCTAACAAGACATTCATAAGTCACAACTTGCTTTTTCCAGGCTCAACCAACAGAGTTTAAATTAACACCGGTCCGCTAGTCCGAGACAAGAAAAATTCAGGAAAGACAAGTGACATTTCCTTGTGGACTACCACTTTGAGCATCAGGTAGAATGGCAAGTCTATAGGAAAGTTTTAGTGGACGAGCAAAATTAAAATAAAACTTAATCTGACCAAACAAACAATTCTTCTTCTTATCCTAACAGTAAAGCATAATACAAACAATGTTAAGCTACTACAAGTATGTATTAAACATATGATCTTGTGTGTCTGGGACCCGCTTCACCTACACAATCCCTTCCATCTCAATCTCATCCTCAGGACTGTCTTGATCAAGCAGGCTTCGCTTGTCTGGCCCAGGTGTGATGGCCTTCCAGTTGCTCAGCCTTGATAGAATGCTTCCCTGCTTACTATTGCGTAGATTGGGGCTGTCCTCGTCCAGGCCGCGGTGTAGTGAGATGTTGTCATATTCCTGGTCTTCAGCGTAGCGCTTGTAGTAGTCTTGGGTCAACAACTTTTCTTTTGTTGGTTTGTGGAATCTGAAACATACATGATATAGTCAGTCATGGACATGGGCCAATCTAGTTTTAAGTCCAGGGGGCTATCAATCATAAACAAACTCATTTAATAAACCTTCTTAAAATAGACATCGCATAGCGGTTGTATGTATTCACGGGTGATGGAGGAACATTGACATACCAAGCTTCGAAGTACTGATCATGGCTCTGCATTAACAAAGAGAGCATAAAAATGGATGTTTTTTTCCATGTTCCCAATTTTTAAGGTCTGTGGATTATAAAAAACCCAGTAATAAACTATGAAATGCCAAATGTAATGTCATCTATCACTTGTGAGAAAAAGGATATAGTTTCCAACTAAACAGATTAGTTTAGAGGTCATTGATATTGCCAAAATACTCACAGTTTGAGCAGCAGGGAGGCACTGACCACTGATACTGAGGACATTGCCATGGCAGCCGATGCCATCCAGGGTTTGAGTGACAGGCCCAGTGGTACAAACATGCCTGAAATAAAACACACAGATTATACAGAGAAGTGAAATTGTGAATCAGTCAAGATTCTCCAAGTAGTCAGGGAAACAGCGGTCTTCACTCAGGTAAACAAGCATTGGGAATTGGGGACTTGTGTCAAGTAATTTGCATGGGCAGACAAGTGTTGATTACTGGGGACCTATCCTGCCCTGTCCTTCCCATTGGGGACTGGTATCAGATACTGAGGACCTTTTCTGCTCTGTACTCATGAGGGGAAGTCATGAGGTACTGGGGACCTATTCTGCCCTGTCATGCTCCTTGGGGGCAAGCATGAGGTACTGGGGACCTATTCTGCCCTGTCATGCTCCTTGGGGGCAAGCATGAGGTACTGGGGACCTATTCTGCCCTGTCATGCTCCTTGGGGCAAGCATGAGGTACTGGGGACCTATTCTGCCCTGTCATGCTCCTTGGGGGCAAGCATGAGGTACTGGGGACCTATTCTGCCCTGTCATGCTCTTTGGTCGCAAGCATAAGGTGCTGGGGACCTATTCTGCCCTGTCATGCTCCTTTGGGGCAAGCATGAGGTACTTGGGACCTATTCTGCCCTGTCATGCTCCTTGGGGGCAAGCATGAGGTACTGAGGACCTATTCTGCCCTGTCATGCCCCTTGGGGGCAAGCATGAGGTGCTGGGGACCTATTCAGCCCTGTCAGGCTCATCAGTCGACCAAACTGAAGTACTGCAGATTCATTCTGTCAGAGAAACAAAAAAAGCAGACCTACCTGCTGCAATCGGAATGCCGATAATGTTGTAGATGGAGGCTGACAGAAAATTAAGCCGAATACGTCGGACAGTCATCTTGGACAGTTTGATGGCAGCGTAGACATCCAGCAGATCATTCTGTGTACAAAAAGAGCATCATACAAAATCATAAAATATACATTAAATCAAATGAACTACTGAACTTACTTCACAATGCCTTACACAATGTTCAGCTATTCAAAACAAGCCAACATGAACTGTAACACACGAGACACTTAAATAGTAAAGAGTAAAAGAGATTTTTTACACACTTTTCATAATTAAATCAGAAAACCAGAATCTGAAACTTTGAACAAAATAACCAACATTTCTTTTTCATTCTTTTGAATTTTAAACACCTTTTGCATCAAAATACATGTGGATGTTTGATAGCAAACAAAACATGAAATTTTCTTATCTGATCTTAATCAGAACTCCACATTCCTGTGAGAAAATCCATTTTTATCATTTTTCTGCACAATGAATGAATTGATAGATGGAAGCAAGAATTTGTACTTCCGACACTCCTACACGATCAGTTGCAAAAAATGTATGTGCTGAGAAAATGCTGACAATATTTCTCTATGACTAACATGATTAACTTAACTCCCCCATTCCCTCTACCCACTTCAGAATATGATGACCCTTTCAGAAAAGGCTTCTGCCAAAATTATCAACATGATTATCCATTTTGTGTGTGGGTGAGCTTTATGCAGGTCCCCAGTGACCACGAAGACTCCACACTTTTGACACGTAGGGGTCGGGACAGACAACACCATTACAGATGAAAACTTACCAACCTCTAAAATACTCATATAACCAGCCCAGTGATAACAATTTTTTATTTGATGCAAATACTAAGTACTGCTAGGATACTAGTTAAAACAGTGTGGCTACATAACCAAGTGCTATAGTAAGCTAAAACCATAGGTGTTGACTCAAGCGCACACAGGAAAGAAGTGAGGTTTTTCCAACCTTTGCACACAGAGAACTGTTTGGTGCTATTGCGGGAACAACTAGTTGTATGTAGTTGACAGTGAAGAGGACTTGTGTTGAAAATCTGAAGACTTAGTTGTGTAGTTGCAGCCAAAATAAGGATATATGGCAATGATGTAACAGAGGTAGAGGATTTGCAAGAATTATTGTCAATACAATTTTGCACTACAAGAGAGTAAAGACATGACCCTGACCTTGATGAGTACAATGTCTGCAGCCTCTACTGCCACGTCGGTGCCGGTGCCGATGGCAATGCCAACATTGGCTTGTGCCAGTGCTGGGGAGTCGTTGACACCATCACCAACCATCGCAACTTTCATTCCTGCCTTCTGCAACATCTTCACCTTCTTCACCTTATGTGATGGCAAAACCTCTGCAAACACACGTCTTATTCCAACCTGTCAAAGCAATATCGATCCGTTAACAACAATGTCTGTGGTCACATAAACTGCATCTTAAGCTTTCGAGTGTATCATATCTCCATTCCATTATCGCCAATACCTTTGCCCTATTTGCCACTCAGGCTTTGTTTTGAGTCCTGTTTGAATGACATGACATGAATGAAATTGGTCATCAAATTACACAGTACTGGTCATAGGAGTGCTGTAATTAAGGGGAAGTAACTTCGGCAAGGCAAGAACTGTAATAGCAAAGAAAAGAACTTACCAAGAAAACATCATATCCAGCGAGAAGTTCATTTATACAGTTTTCTTATTTGTAGTAAACTCCTTTAGTTAAAATATAAAGGCTGCTATATTTAATGTAAATTTATGCCAAGCTCTCATTAAGAATTAATTTTGGTTGTTAGGTTGTTGTGGTAGGTTAGCAATACAGGAGATGAAACAACACTGCTTTGGTGGGAAATGGTTGTAGTGTATTTATTTATATCAGAAGGAATGAAGACATGAAAATATGCTGGATAATTACTGAAGTATAAACTGCTGGTTTGAAAATAGTAACAGATTTAAAGAGATTTAAAAGTTGTGCAGTAGACCCTAGTTAATATATACAATAATTGATCCGGTGTAACATTTATGATGAAAATTGATGGCCAGGCACTATAATCTGATATCAAACCCTGCTCCTCTCATTAACAGAAAACTCAATGTATTTGTGATAATCCCAAACCTTAGCAATACTGAGAATAAGAAATACAATGCCTGCTGCTTACATTTCTTTTTATGAAATGTAATAATTAATTGGGCTAATGCATCTTGAGAATAACTATTTCCAGTGTCTGCCTGAACACAGAAATTAGTCAAAAGTTATTCTAAACCATCAATTGTTACAGATAGGTACCTGTTTGGCAATGGCCTTGGCAGTCTTCTGGTTGTCTCCGGTCAGGAGGATCACCTGCAGGCCTAACTCTTTCAGACAATGCACAGCCAGGTGAGCTTCTGACTTTACCGTATCAGCAACTGCCAGCATCGCTGTTACCACACCTGGCAACAGATTCATATATACAGTCACCACACCTGGCAACGGAATCCCACATACAACAATCCCACACCTGGCAACAGATTTACATAGACAGTTACGACACCTGGCAACAGATTTACATGGACAGTTACGACACCTGCAACAGATTCACACATACCGTTCCCACACCTGGCAACAGATCCACATATAGGGGAGACAACCCTTGATTGTCAGATGATATAATTCCTTAGTATTTTGAAGATTCATTGATATTTCCTGCCTATTCAGAACTAGAAGTCATCTTTGAATTTTCATGCTGCTTATTCAAACTCAAAAGTGGACATGTTTTTGCATTTCTGTTAGTGCATTATCCATACCAATTTCCACGTAGGCAGTACATGGTGCATATTTCTATCAAAGGAAACCAAATTTGATTTGAAAGCACATCAACTTGAACATAATAATGAACATGACTCCTTAAATAAAGACCATCTTAACCTTGTCAGTTAAATCTTGGATGGCTGAAAGTAATCTGATTCTGAAGTATGTTTGCTTGATAGCAGTGTTCGAAATACCTGCCTGCCCGACCGTCTGAGACCGGTTGATTTCAACTCGGGCTGCCAGATTTTCAAATCCCCCTGCCCGTCGGTCAGGTTATATTTCATATGAGAAAATATTCTAAATATTTCCCAATGATAAGCATTAATTCACATGTAAAGATGAATGATAAAATGTAACCAAAAAGAAACCCCGTTAGCTTATCCTGAGAAACATGATTATAGTGGGCAGGCAGGTTTTGGTCAGGGCTGGCAAGTATTTCAGCTAGCCAGTCCTGTGGTCTGGCTGAAATTTTGGGGAGTTTCATACCCTGTTGATAGGAGTGACCTACCATCGATAGCACAGAGTACTGCAGTGTGGCCCTGGTTCTCATGTTCCGTCATCACACTGTCCATGGCTTCACTCACTAGCAGGCCGTTCCGGTTCATCCACTCACGGTTCCCGATCAGGACTTCATAGGGATTGGAGGAAGCTGCGCCCATCAGCATCACATCTGTACACAATACCCAACATATGATTTACTGTCAGGAAACAATGCACTTACATCTTGTTATTCAGTCACAAAATCACAATATCTGATGAGCGAATCAGGAATATAAAATCATAGTAACTGATTAGTCAAATAGGGGTTTCAAATCAAAAGATCGGAATATATTTTATTTTTACACCATGTCAACAAATGTTGTATTACTGAAGTGGAAAGTTAGTAATACAGGTAGTTCAGTGAACTCAGGCCCGGTAACTAAAAGGTTGTCTTGCCTGAACTACATGGGTCAAAGATCACTGCCCTTCCTACCTTGATAGGGGGCATGGGTGGCCCAGTCGTCTGGGGCGCAACGATTCACTGTGTTGAGTTGTGTCCCTTGGGCACACAAGAAACCTATGATTGTGGGTTCAAATCCCGGTTCGCCTCGATTATGTTTCTAGGTTTGTCAGTACCATACCCGTACTTGTGGGTTTCACCGAGGTGATAAACGTCCGAGACCTGCATCACTTCGGGCTTTCCTCCCACATTAAGCCGACACGCTGCGATATAACTTGAATACTGTTTAAAGCGGCGTTGAACCCAAATCACTCACTCATACTCCTACCTTGATATAAAACATACATACGAGTATATTTGAATAATTTTCTTGCATTCATTCTGTTTCATGTCAATGTTATCATTCTTCATCTAGTCACTGCTTGTTTAACTTCCTACCCTCGATCTGGAGCGGCAAGTCATCACTGCTCTCCCCCTGGACATTATCTATCTTGATGCGGATGCTCCCAAACTGGTTCTTGCGGTTGTTTACACCGGCCAAGTCAACGTTGTTGAGGAGGGTCTCTATCTGCGACACTTTACACTTGAGGCCACATCCTGGCACCGCCTGGAAGTCTGTAACCTTTCCCAGCGCCTCACTGGCCAGAGTCTGTCACACAAAGAGGACACTTACACTAAACAATACAGTCTCCTCTCAGCAGAAGACATCCTCCAGTATCCGTCGTATCCTACCTCCATTTTATTACAGTGTATTCCCTGGACCCAGTCATAAGTACAGTTTCGTTTCAGAAGTGGTGCCATCATCTCAATATCTCATACCACTAACTTCAGCAGAATTTCTCTCACTCATGAACTCACTAATGTCTATCAAACAATACATGAACTTGAAATAATAAAAAAAAAAATCCCATCTGAACACTAAATTGGCACATTCAAAATCGTGTTCTTGTCCAAGCAAATAATCAATACAAGATAAATCAAATGATAAGACTATTCTTAATTCCTGAGGATTAATGTTTGTTTGGTTTGTTTGAATTTTAACGCTTCACTCAGCAATATTCCAGCTATATGACAGCGGTTTGTAATAATCGAGTCTGGACCAGACAATCCAGTAATTAATGTCATGTGCATCGATCCACACAATTACGATACAATAACATGCATCAACCAAGTCAGCAAGCTTGACCACCCTATCCTGTTAATCGCCTCTTACGACAAGCATGGGGTTGCTGAAGACTAATTCTAACCCAGATCTTCACGTGTCGGCTATGGCAGTGAGGCTGTTTTATGTCAACATCGAAAGTGTTAACTGAGTGGTGTTAAACATGGTGGATAAATAGGAGCATTGAAATTAAGTGTTTGAAAATTAAGTAAGAAAGTAAACAGGTCCTTGTCTTAACTCTTATGTTAAAAATTATACGCCCGGGGGATAAAAAGGTACACTCTTCAAAGGACACATGAAATCAAACAAGAGTTTGAACAGTATTCAGTTCTGACATCAGACAGCTTACTGTAGGAGGAATGCTGAAAAGTTGTCCATGTGTACCGTCTGTGTCAGATCATAAACATTTAGAACTTAGACCACTGGAACAACTGTGCTCAGTGAGACACACGACCATAAGAAGATGACAAAGATCTGACAGATGAGAAAATACTTTGCAAAGCCCACAACTGTAGGAAGAGAACATTTTGTAAAGAACCTGAAAATGCCATATTTATAGGTAAATGGAAAAATGAAATAGTGTAAAAGAAACTGAACTTGAGAGATGAATGTTACCTAACCAACTATTCATACTCAAGGACCTGAAGTCTAGAAGAGAGACTGTGTTCAAAAGGAAGGGAGTCCTAGGGCCCTTAAGGATTACTCTTATAGTATTACAATCTCAGGCACCCCTAAATATTCCATTTTCAACATTTGGGTTAGGACAAGGACCTCTGGCTTCATGCTTCAGACACTGGTCTTACCTTTTTGGCGTACTTGACAATGGCTGCAGCTATGGGGTGCTCGCTGCTGTTCTCAGCAGTGCCGGCAATAGCCAGTAGCTTGACAAAGGAGCATACATTCTCCTTCACGAACAGGGAAACTCGGGCCACCTCGGGCACGCCCTTTGTGATCGTGCCAGTCTTGTCAAACACAATACACTTAACCTGAAGATAGGAAAATCAAAAGTATCAGCTAAATTTGCTGAAAAGTAATGTCAAAATACCTCTGAATGTAAGAGAATATGAATATCAAATCTTCCAATTTTGATCTAAATAATGACTGTTTTCCAATTTGCCTGAATTTAGTTTGGAATCCCAGGTAAATTCCTATATATAATATATGTATTATGTTATGTGATAAGAAATCCAAACATTTCTGATAAAAAAAAATAGTATTTCATCAGGACAAAAATGATTCAATTCATCAAAATAACTTAGTTTCATTCTCAAAACATAAAAAAGAACAAAAATGAAAAAAATAAAAACATTGTCCCCCAGCTAGGCAGCCACCGTCAATCAGTTTCATTCATATAAAAAACCGTGTCACAGGGTGTTGCCTTCGTGACATGTGACGTTCACTGTACCTTGTGTGTTGTTTCCAGGGGCTCGCCTCCCTTGATGAGGATACCGTTAGTGGCGCCGACGCCTGTCCCCACCATCACCGCAGTGGGCGTGGCAAGACCCAGGGCACAGGGGCATGCTATACTGAGTACTGTGATAGCATACTGGAAAGCTTTCTGGAATATCACCTCACTCCTCAAAACAGGACCATTCTCCTGGAACAATCATCATGGCTTATGAGCAGACAGACATGCTTCCTACAGCATCACTCAGTTTACCACTGAGCATTTAATATTCAAGAAGGGCCATTTTTATACCTTGTCCTTTAGTTCATAAATACTGGTGTTCTGAATGGAGCAATTACTGAATAAAATCTCTACACAAAAAGAAGTTGATTTCTTCATTTCTTTTCACTGACATGTCACGGAATGCTGGCCAAAAACAAATGTTACACTACCTGCCTGGCCTGTAAACATATCACTGTACGAAGTTCAGGCAATTGCTGCTACCAACATGTGCAGGGAACTCACCATAAACTCTGGTTCTATTTTTGTGATGTCCACATATCCAATGATGACCCAGCAGATGAGTGTGATGGTAGACAGGGTACACACGATGGGGACAAAGTAGCCGGCTATCTTGTCTGCTAGGTTCTGTATTGGGGCCTGATGGCAGTAATATAGTCACATTAGGCCACACTTTGAAAATATTGGTTTACAAATTCAGCATAAAAAGAAAGGAAACGAGGAAGAGAGAAATTATACTGCTACAGGAAGGAGAGAGATTGTACTGTTACAGGAAAGAGAGAGGCTAATGGAATGAGAGATACTACAGGAAGGAGAGAGGCTACGGGAAGGAGAGAGAAGCTACAGGTACAGGAAGGAGAGACAGGCTACAGGAAGGGGAGAGGGGTACAGGAAGGAGAGTAAGACTACAATAAAGGAGAGCAGTCTTCAAGGAGATAGACTACAGGAAGGAGAGAGACACTACTGCTACAGGAAGGAGAGAGCTCACACCTTGGAAGTCTGTGCTTCCTCCACTAGCTTGACAATCTGGGAGAGGGTGGTGTCTGCCCCGACATGGGTGGCCTCGATGATCAACATCCCGTTCTGGTTGATGGAGCCCCCAATCACAGAGTTCCCTGTAAAACAAGTGGACAGTGTACCGTCCATACCAGGATACCACTCACTAGACAGTGTTACATCACTACCAAGATATTACTAACTAGACAGTGTACCATCCATACCAGGATACCACTCACTGGACAGTGTACCATCCATACCAGGATACCACTCACTGGACAGTGTACCATCCATACCAGGATACCACTCACTGGACAGTGTACCATCCATACCAGGATACCACTCACTGGACAGTGTACCATCCATACCAGGATACAGCTCACAAGACAAGAGGCGACAGCAACCTCTTCAGCATAAATACAAGGGGTCATTTTCAAAATTTGGGGGCCACTTTCAGAGAGGTCAAATAAAACTTAAAACCCCCTGGTATGCAGGTTATTGATGCAGGATTGCTATCCACAAGTAACATTAGCGACACACAACATTTTCGCATGGCATCTTTCTCAAATATTACGTATTGCAGCAACAACATCCGAAGTCATAAATAACTAGCCTCAACAGTTTGTTTGTGATCACTGCTATTAGCATGTCTCTTCAAGGTACTCGTTATAAAATTAGAAAGTAGCTTTGTCATTGAATAAGATTTCACATGATTTATACAAAGCTGACATGGTGTAGTATTTCTTCCTGAGTAATGGTGCAACCATGTGTAGTCATAAAACAAGGTTCGCTGAAAATTTCTACCTTTCTCAGTTTTTCTACCTTTCCGCAGTCTGTCAGCATTGTCACTCTCAGGTGAGCCATGCGACACATACTGTGTATCACTAATGAGGCCGATGTAGTTTTTGTAAATATTTGTTTAATTTCAATTCAGGTTTTTACATAAACTTATGACATATAATTAGTTGTTAGTTTCACCAGTCATCTATAATACAATATATCTGACCTGTGTAACCTACAAATTGCCCCCTGGCCAGAAGCTTTATATGCTGATTGGCCAAGCTAACACCTATTGTTAAACTGCATGCCTTGATTACACTGCATACTCTCTCAGCACATAAACTGACAGAACTGCTCCGACCAGCAAAGAATAAAGTCGTAATCTTAAATCAGGTGAGTTAAAAGGCTATAATCTCTATTTTGTGTTGTATTGAAATAATACAGTATGTTTAAAGTGTTATATTAAGTAAACTGAATTGATGTAATCTAATATAAATGTTGGTTATGTCTATAATTATGTAAATCTGCATTAGGTAAGCTAAGCAACCATAATTTCTCACTAAAATAGAATCTATCACTTCAATGTTATATGTGTTTAAGTGTTGTTTTACTTCTAGAATGTTTTAAAAGCTTTTCTAGTGTTTGTAATGTACAGATTCAGATATGATACATGCAAGTCATTGTAAATAAAATGTGTGTATTACGGTGTTCAATATATTAATCTATGTATTATTGAATCAGATCAATGAGTGTGGTGTTGCATTAAGTGACAGTGGGGAGTCACACCCTTGTGTCACCTACAGGGTATGCATGGCATTGTTTATATATGTCTAAGATTTAAGGTGTAATCATAATGTTATGATCACATTTAATGTAATATTATACATCATTAATTTCTTTCTTAAAGTACTGTACATGTTTACACAGAATGTGTAAGCTTTATGTATTTATTTTGCGTAGATACCAGGATACCACTCACCATCTTTTATACCTTTTAGACATGAATTACAAACATTACAGTAATAAGAATATGTCAAAATGAGAATAAATTCCTCAATATTTCTATTATTAACAACCAGTGGTAGAAGGATCAAAATCAAGTTAGGTCCCCTAACAATCTGAAGCACAAGCTTTACAAAGCAATTGTAGCACTTTGAGTGTTATAACAGTCATACTCTGACACACATACGACAACTGTAGCACTTTGAGTGTTACAACAGTTGTACTCTGACACACATACGACAACTGTAGCACTTTGAGTGTTATAACAGTCATACTCTGACACACATACGACAACTGTAGCACTTTGTGTGTTATAACAGTCGTACTCTGACAAACTTATGACAACTGTGTCACAACAGTCATAGTTTAACATAGAACAATTGTACCATTGTTATTACTTTGTTACACACAGCCCTGGGTCATTATATTAATTGTTTAAAACAATCCACCATGCCCCTGGCCCATAGTTCTATAATATCTTAAAATTTATACTCCCAACTTAAAATGATTAGGAGATAACATATTGTGTTTTCAGTGTTGAGCTACAGTACTCATAGATTTGATGCACCAAGCTGAATTATAAAACAGATGGCCCCAAAGTATTAAAAGCATGGAGGACAGGACCCATTCTGCCTTGGAATCTGCACTCGGTCCAATGTTTGTGTGATAAAACTACCAACAAGCTCTGTTGCAGTGAAATGACTGCAGGATATGAGAAAATGAAAACAAACAGAAACTAACTCCATGTTTTACCTCTGGAACAGAAATCCCTCACCTTCAGATTTTGGAACTGGCATGCTCTCCCCAGTGATGAGAGATTCGTCACATGTGGAGGTGCCCTCTATCACTCGGGCATCAACTGGAATCTTCTCCCCAGGAACCACCTACAACACAGTCATAATCTCAGTGCCTGGACAGTTTACATGGAAATGGCAGCATAATCAAACAATCAGGTCGGGGGCTTCTAGATTCTCGTACAAGTGAAGCATACAGAGTATGGTATATAGATACCGTATTTTCTTGAGTACATGTATACTGCACACTTTTTTTCCAAAAAAAAAGCACAGCTGTGTAGAAGGGGTCTACATGCCATAATGAGTTTTGATGGTTTTTTTTCCCCCAACGAAAAGACATTACCGTGAGCACGTAACACTGGAAATACCATGTCAACAAATCCATACTGCATGTACTGAAGTATACTGTCATAGCAGCTACCCTAAAAAGATGACCTGATGGTTTGTATCAGTTAACAATTGATGAAGTGATCACGACATCAGTGAATCAATTATTTCAAATTATATAAGTTCATTATGATGAATTGTCCAAAACTAAGAAGGCTCCTGGGGTTTGCTCCCATAGTATTTGAATCTAGGGACCTCTAAATCTTAAATGTTTAACATGAAGGTAATGACAAGGACCCCATAATTTTCATGCTTAATTTTTTAAGGCAGTAATGATCATATGCCCATACTAACATTATGTTCCCCAACACAAAGTGGCTTGGTTGCAGATTACAGTTAACATTCATTCGCAGTGAATAGTGAAAAGATTTCTAGGATTCAATCCCATTGATGAAACCTCTTTCAACCAATCAGATTGAAAAGATTCCCATTTATTTTCCTTTGCACCATGATGAAGCTCCGGCAGCATACACATCCAGGCTAGCCTTCATGAAGCAGGTGCTTACCTTGAGATGATCTCCCCTGTGTACGAGGTCCACCTGTATTGTCTCTTCATGGATGACATTGCCCTCCTTGTCCAGGTCCACAAGCACAGCCTCGGACGCCTGGAGAGACAACAGCTTAGCCAGAGCCTCGCTTGTCTTGCCCTGTGGGAGATAGTCACAGTGTTTTTACCATGCGTACAGACCATTTCTCATACAAAGCTAGAGTCACCACAATAAAGAGGCTTAATAGTCGTTTTCAAGGCAGTTATCGATCTTAATAATTATTAAGCAATCAAGTTACCCACTATTCTATTCCTACATGATGTCATACACATCCAGAGATATGTCCAGGATTCTAAATTAAGTGAGTGAGTTTGGTTTTACGCCGCTTTTAGCAATATTCCAGCAATATCACGGTGGGGGACACCAGAAATGGGCATCACACATTGTACCCATGTCGGGATTCGAACCCGGGTCTTCGGCGTGACGAGCGAACGCTTTAACCACTAGGCTACCCGACCGCCCCTCTAAATTAAGTGCGATTGGCAGAGCAAATTGGGAAAAACAATGTCATTTTGTTCAAAAAATTATTTTTTTTATTAAGTTCTTATTTTCTTAAACTCAGAGGTATTTTAAAATTTGTTACCTCAAGATTACATTCAATGCAATAATATGAAACTAAGCATTAAAACCTCTTCCTATTTCATGGTCTTAAAAACAAAAAAATTAGTTAGAATTAAAAAATTTCTAAATCATTTTAATATATATAATTTGGGAATTTTCAATGAATTTTTACCACAGACTTGGGGCCAAATATCACCCTCTGAGTAGGTCTAGTCAAACCACTGATGTCCTTTCCACAAAGCCATCGTAGCGATATGGCTATTGTAAATCTCATACTTTAACATAGACTTACGACTGTCGTGCTACGATTGCTTTGTGAACGGGACCCTGGACATCATAAGAGAAGAAAATATTTGCAATATATTTATTTAACTGCTTAGTTACAAATGCACTTGGTATTAAAGATTCACATTCTACACCAAACTGCGACTAGAAGTTCAGAATTTGTTTCCACACTTATATCAGATGAGTTCTCCCTACAAGAGGCACGTGGCTGTTTGTTTATAAACACCTTGTGCAAGGACTTAAAAATAACCTGTCATGATAAAAGAGAGCCTAATACTATAAGCAATCTTTTTGAGATTATTCAGTGTGTGATCAAAGGTGAACCATGTGGTCTCACTGTCTTCTCTGAAGGTACTGGTAATCAATGTTGTCACCCCTTGATATTTAATGTTTCAGATGAGGGTTATTACAACAACTGCTTGTCTTTCATTTTAACTTCGGATCACTACTTACCTTAGCTACGTGTTCCAGCCATCTGCCAAGAGCTATGAACACCATCAACATAGGGGTGGTCTCGAAGAACGTCACTGGACTTACTGTCTCTTCCAGTGCCATAGCAACTATGACGACTATCACAGAGTATGTATAGGATATTGTGGTTGCAAGGACAACCAGGACATCCATGTTTGTTGCTCGATGCTTCAGTGCTTTGTATGCTTGTATGTAGAAGTACCGACCCCCAATAAACTGAAAACATAAGATATCTATTAAAATCATTTAAAACCATTTCCTTATCAGTTCAAAATAAAGATGAGTCATCGGGAGATGACATATCCCCCCAGTCTGGTGCAATTTGGAAATGGAGTTTGGCTACTTATTCCCCACTTTTGGTTCATTGCCATGATGGATATCTTTGCTTCAGTGAAGTAAAAAATAATGCTGTTCAATATTTCTCTATATCCCAAATCATCGAAGGCACCAGTTCACCACTAGACTCATCTGTATAGCAACATTTATCTAGAAATATTCAACAGTTTTGGAGTTCTCTGGAAATGAGAACTACCATGATTTTCAGTAAATACAGACTTGTCGTCATGAAAACATAAAAACATCAGCCACAAAAAATCCCAAATCATCTAGGGCACAGCTCACCACTAGACTGATCTGTACAGCAAGTTTCAACAAGAAATATTTTATGGTTTGGGAGTTCTGTTACAAAAACAGACGGACGGACATGCAGATTGAATATGTCCCTGTTTTTCAAATGGGGGGAATAATTAGTGTCATAAAACAATATTTATCCAACTTTAAGCAGTATTTGTGTAGCTGTAGTCTCAATATAGACAGATTACACTCATGAATTTTTCCTGGTTTTAGATGTCCTTCTAAAGTTTCAGGTTCATCCCCGCAGCTGGTTCTGAAAAGTCGTCAAAAGGTAAACAACCCATAATACACCGATATTGGACAGGCACACAATGTACTATCCACTTTGCCATAAGTTCACATTGAATGTTGATCACAATGATAAACTGAAGCTGAACCCTTTGACTTACCTGAACTGGTGTGGCGAGGATGAAGAGAAGCAAGTTCTCAACTGACAAACCAGGCAGAATCATAAGCTGGTAATGGCCACCGGAATGTTTTGGCATGGGTGTGGTGGACCCATTGGAGTCGTTGCCTCCCATGGAGGAATGAGGCTGGGGCTTGGAGGAGAACATGAAGTACATCATCACAGTCATCGCTGGGATGCCGAAAACCAGCGACAGCAAGAAAGAGTTGCGCCATCTGGTGGGAGGAGAGTAAACAGGTATTGTAAAGCAAAGCCAAGTCTGTCTTTCAGTGGGATAAATATACAATTTGAAAAAGAGTTTCATGTTTGCTGATTTTTTCTCAATGAAAGTTGACCATTTCATGGCACATGTTTACCTAAGTGTGTAGACTTCTGACAAGTGAAATGGACCATAAACATGTTATTTCTTGAATGGACTATGTAAGACATGTCATCAGTTCTAGGGCTGCAATGAATACACTGTTTGGTGAATACGATTCGTATCATGAATATAGGGTAACGAATACGAATATTTATTCACGGATACAATTACAAGTCAGCAGTTGACGTAATATTTATGATATTCAGCAAAACAATAACGAAATTTGTTATGTGACATTGTTTGTTAATTGTTTATTACACATTCATATACTGCACTTATCCAGGTAGTAGTATCTGCTCAAATGCGACAATGACCAGTGACTAAAATACTGTCAAATTAAATATAAAAGAGTGTTGTCTTTGAAGAAATCTATGCATATAATATGTTCTTATGGATATTTTAAGGGTCAGGGTATGTAGATTCACATGACTGTATATTCATAAATATTTGATTCTAGTGACCACGAATAACAAATTCAATTCATGAATAAGGTTCGATTCACTGAATACGCGAGTGATTCCTATCAACCCTGGTCATCACATTTTGCTGGCCTGTGCAGAGGTACTAGGTTGAACTCTAGGTAGAAGAGTGAAGACAGAGATTGACAACAAAAGACTTCTTTCCTTGAGCTTGTTTAAAGCTTGTATGAGGGAAGAGATATTCAGAACAAGACTGACCGTCGTATGTCGTGTCGATGGTCATATCTGGCTGCCTTCTTGTCATCATCGGTCATAAGAAAAGCATCAAACCCCAGGCTCTGGAAAGATATAATGACAGTAGCTACATAGAATAATATCAATCACTTCCACAGGCAAAAGTGCCATTACGATAGTATATATAGCAGAGATATATCTGTTTGTATACTGTTTATGATGCAGTCAACAATATTCCGGCTATATCAGCCTTCAAATAATCAACCTGGGGGAAGGAACATGTATTTGATAGCAAGCCAGATTCCCCACATCAGAGCATGTTGTTTTAGACAGGAATATGTTTTTTGAGTCATTCATAGTTTCCCTCCCCGTTGGCATTCTGGGAAAGAACAATGGTCTACATCAGCCGTTGACTTTCGGTGTTGATGACTGAATGGATCAGGTGATCAAGCTTGGTGACTTGGTAGATTTCTGGTCATTGTATTAATTATCACTGGTCCAGATTCTATTCTTTAAAGGCCAATGTCATATAGCTGGAATCCTGAGGAGGGCAGCATTAAACATGAAACAAACAAAACCTTATTTTGTTCGACGGGAAATATATTTGCATCAGACTACCAACCTTGACAGCTTCGATGACAGTGCGTGGTCCAGTCACCTCAGTGTCGTACACGAACTTGCCAGTGGATGTGGAGAGTGCAACAGCAGCCGAAATTATACCTGGCTTCTTCCTCATGCTGGACTCAATCAGGTGAACACATGATGAACACGTCATTCCAGTTATCTGGAAACAAGTGGATATAATACAATCATCATTAGATTTTTCATCCTCACAACATGAGATGGATTTCTTTATAAGTACCCATAAAGAACATGTTATCCACAAAAAAGTTTCATGACTTCATCATAATACAGATTGCCACAGAAAAAAAAACTATCTTTAAAACAGTGTAAAACATATTCATGAACATTAAAAAGTGGAGCTTCTCCCTTGATGGACTTACAGTGAGTTCCACCACGCCCTGCCCATCCCCCTCCTGTTCCACCACAGTGGCTGAGAATCCCAAGTCGTTGATGGCGTTGGCGATCTGAGACGGGAGGATATACTCTGGGTCGTACTTCACCTCCGCTTTCTGGGCCATCAGTGCCACCAGGACACTCTTCACACCTGCATTCAAGTCAGACAGTGAGACAGTTTAACATCAACAGTACTGTAGTGATCGCATCTCTGCATTTTGTAACCTGTAATTGTACATAGTTATTTCAAGATGAGAAAGAAGTACTTCTCTATAAACATTAACTTCCATTGTAATGCAGCCACCAAATTAGCTGTTTCATTCAAAGGTGGTTATTGTCATTTGATACATCTGATTGACCAATCAGCGTTGAATAATTTCCAAATTGATGGTAAAGCATAAAATATATTTCTGCATAAAGAGTGGGATGTTTAGTAATGTATATGTAAAAGTATTCACTTCTGAAAATACTTTGTTCTCTTTATAAGAGAGACAACATGTAATGCTTTTGAATAATTACCTTTTTTAAGATTAATTCTTATGACTATTTGGAATGCTTTTTGTAGTTATGTCTTTATTTTTCTTATTAATCAAAGATTGAGCTGTTGGGCATATTAAAATATATCAAAGTTCATAATTAGGGCAAAATGGTGGATCCTGGCATCGCAAAAGGTCACAACTATTCACAGTTAACAGTGTCAACTTATACCACTGGGTCAGCTTGTTAAGAGTGAGGAGTTGGGCTTAACATCACTTTGTTGCTTAAATCCACACTATGCAATACTTCAGCTATATATAACAGTGACCAGTAAATAATCAAATCTGGACCAGACAATCCAGTGATTGACATTATCATGATTATGAGCAACATCTCAAACTGGTACAATGACATGCTGTCACCGAGCCTGATCACACAATCCATTTAGTCAACTCGTATGATAGTTGAAAATTTCAATTTATTTCAACCACTTTGTAAATGGTTTAGAAAGAAAAATCAGAAAATCAAATAATTTAATATAAAGAGGCCACAATTGGAGATTGGTGTACTGTCCCCTGATACCATTGACTATTTGTGGAGTGTGTAGGCTGTACCTTCTACTTTGATGACGTTTTTCTCGATGGTGGAGACGCATGAGGCACATGTCATCCCTCGGACAAACAGGAAACACTTCTCCAGGTCCTCCTCTTCTCCATGGAAGCGAACGCTGGACTGTGCAATACTAGCCTGACTGGCCGAGCTCCGTATCGATGAGCCAACATGAGATGGATTCAGTAGCCCCTCTGAAAGACAGTGACCTTGTGTAAGTTGGAATATTTTTTAATTTACAGAAAAACAAAATTCTTGATTTAGATAACCTGATTAGATCAGAGTTCAATTGTAGTGCTACATATCTAAACAAAAGAGCTGTTCTCTGCATTGTGAATTCATAGAAGACAATGCCTATTTTTCAATTTCTAAAAATCCCAACACTTTTTTAATTGACATACCTGGTGACACTATTTCACCTTTTTTTGTAAATCTTTCATGACAACACAAATCTACTTGAAATATTTTGGTAATCTGGTAATTGTTTTTTTTTTCATTTTCTTTGATAAAAAGGCTCCTAACATGGCAAGTATTGAGTTTCCATGTATCAAATAGCAACTTTACAATCAATACACATACCATATCAGTCTTGTGAGCATTGTGTAAGACTAACCTGCTGCTGTTGCTTCAAAGCCCATATCTTCCACAGCAGCACACAGCATGCCTGGTGTCACTTTGTTCAAATAGTAAACAAACACCCCTTCCTGATTGGCCAAAGAAACCTTGACATTCTTAATCCCAGGATGCTCGGCCATCTTTCCTTCGATGGTCTTCACACACGAATTGCACGTCATACCTCGGATGTTGATCAGTACAGTTGCCAGTCCTTCGTCTGAAGATCCACGACTTTCAGCCACTGAAGCACCGAATCCCATGTCATCAATCATAGCTGCGATCTTTCCTGGATCTGTTACCGAAGGATCATATTGTACGACCCCGTTCTTGTTCTCCAGCGACACCTTTATACCTTTGATGCCCCTCTTGTTGGAAATGTTAGATTCAATGTTTTTCACACATGAGCCACACGTCATGCCGTCAATATCGATGACACATTCGGCTTCTCCAGACGTCTTCCTTGATGCAATGGCCTCGAACTCATCCACACTGGCTGGTGGGGGAAGAGAAGCTTCAAATCCCATTTCATCAATTTCATCGCGAAGCTTATCAGGGTTTGAACCCTTTGGGTCGTATATGATGAAGGCCTCTTTGTCTGCCAGTGACACTCGGATTTCAATGACTCCTGACTTCTTGCCGATGTGGGATTCAATATGGCGGACGCAAGACTGACATGTCATTCCCTCCACATGAATCCTTGTTGCCAGGTTTCGAGAGCTGCTGTGTCGCACTTTAGCCTCAAAGCCCATTTCATCAATCTCACTACTGATCTTAGAGGCATTCAGCTTCTGGGCATCAAATTCGACTTCTGCGCAATTTTTCTCCAGTGAGACAGAAATATGGTAGATCCCATCAAGTTTGCTGAGGTTGTTTTCGATTGTACGAACACATGACATGCAGGTCATCCCCACGATATCAATGACAGCTTCAGAAGAGTTGTGTCCCTTTGAATATGCTGACCCCTGAATGTCCTTGACCTTGGCCTCAAAGCCCATGATGTCTATCCTCTCTGCCAAGTATGGGGGGCTTGTCTCGGATGGCCTATACTTTATGGTAGCTTCCTTTTCTTCAAGGATTACCTGCAAAATAAAGTTTAAAAGACATCAAAGAAAATTCTAACAACATTTTGTTGCTAGCAGTCATGGTAAGCTTCATCAAATAAGCGTAAATACTTATTCGGGTAAATGTTCCCGATTGGCAATAAATTAATGAAATATATGTGATTGTAAAATGTAATTTTAAAAGGAGATCTTAAATGTTCAAAATAGTGGCTTGACCATTATTGTGTGGTCAGAGATATCTAAGGCCGGCTAGTAATCATTCAATTCTCCTAACCTGTCTGTTGACAACAACCTTTCCACATTATCTATATAGTTTCAAAATTCATCTGTGAGCATTAAATTCATCAAACACTATGACATCATTACTGGCAAGTCCACTCAGATCTGTCTTGTGACCTCCATCAGATATTCGGTATGGTAACGAAATGTGGGCAGGGTCAAATGTGACATGACAAACAAGTAATCAACATTATTGCCTATTAAACCCCTCCCACCTCACCTATTTAATGAAAATTATAATATGTAGTTTATTATTTCCAAATGGCACAATCCGATCCCTGCCCCATCCCCGAATGCTGGTGTGCATATCAATCAACCCTGGCTGACAGGTGAAGACAATAATCCCCCTCATCCCCACTATGTAGGTCATATGTTATCTGTCAACAACACACTGAGTTGAAAACAGCCACACAAGTATCGGGTCATGTTGCGGTCTCAACGACTACTTCACTATCTGTTTTTCCATGCATGTTTTCACAATGTTACTTGTCTAGGAATCCAAGCAGGAAGCCCTTCGCAGCCTTATTCAGAAAAAAAAAATTTTTTTGTTTGAAATACAAAAAAAATTCAAATAATATTTTTCCAAATTCAGAGGTTTTTTTGTGAGATATTAATTTTGCAGTTCATGTCAATATAGATAACTCCAGAGTGGGATTCATCACTAACAGCTGCTGCAGACTTGCTGTCAATTATCTGCCTCTGAGCCAACCTGGATAAATGCCTGTATTGATGTGAAATACTGTATAAAATGACTATTATGTCTTAACTGGAACAAACAATGTGACATTATTATCATAATATCTTAAATATTTAGTCCCCAGGGCAGACAACTTAGTCATTTTATCTGAATATTTCTGTGTTGCTTAGCAGGCAGAAATATACCTATAGAAAGAGTGATATACATATCTTTATGTGGACAGAATCAGACAATACCTCAGGCCAAACATGATCCTTAGGCCAATATATCCACATATACTTATGATGAATTGAATGATGATCTGAAATTGCATGTTGAAAAAGTTTACAGGTCTTAGACATCGTTGCGTCATGATTCACATATATGTCCCCCATTTATCATATACATCCCAGATGCTATTCAAAACACATCAGGACATACAGTATTAAACATTATGATTGAACACATTTAACTGTATCTTGTATATTTCTAAATGCAAGACATATGTAAAATAAAAAATTTCCCCTGCGGGATTCTTTGACCTTTCATACGCGCATTCTAATCGGTTTATCATATTTTCACACATAACATTCATCGACAGGGGACGAGTCTTTTTGCAGGTTACAGAAAGGGGCGAGGGTGACAATGGACTGGACCCCCGTGGCCCACACAGCGAGGAGAGAACAATTACAGGGTCCACATGTAATGAACCATCTAAGTGCTAAGAATGTTGTAACTCAGGACCTACTCCTTGAAACAGACTTGCAACACGCTTTGTGAATGTGGGCCCAGGAGACTTTTAACATATACCAGTTTTTTATAAAAGTTTCAACAACACATGTCTGAAGGTCAGTTGAAGGTTTAACATGATCGTGACGAACATAACAACATCCTGCACAGTTATGTGGACAAGGTATTGATTTACCATCCTATGCATAGGTCGGTGAGGCTACTTGTAACAAGATGGCATGGATGATATTGAACATAAATGCCTACAACATAATATTTATAGGAAAGTATGTAGAAAGCTTATGATACTGGATATCTTTGTATAAAATAATTTCTTAAAGAAATTGCTGGACAAAAATAACTTGGCTCAGAGCTAACCTTGTCAGAACAACAAAAACGTTTTACAGGCCCCTTAAAAATTGTTTGGTTACTTTCAGACTAAAAAAACTGTATGTCTTGAAGCGCAAACAGAAACAATATTTGGTCTTAGATACACTGTTTCACTAGTGTAGCGGATAGAGTGTTAGGTGTCAGTGGTTCAATTCCTGGCTGTGTCATAGAAAAGATCATAGATGCCAACTTCCCAAATTACAATTAGCATCTACGTAATGTGATTTCTGTTAGTCATTTCATTGGTAGGTCAAATATCATGGAAAGTAGTTCTGACATCACTTACAATGGGATGTCTTCAGATATTTGTGTCGTGGGAGCAAGCACTAAGATTCGATCTAAATGAGATTTCCAGGACTGCTGAACAAGGTCACTAGTGGTTTTCATGGTTATGAAGATATAATAAATATTTTTGTTTAAAATAAACCTTGATCACATTTGACATGCTTTCATCAGTCCAGTGATAGTCAGCCAGAAACAGAATGGCACATCACTACTGTACTGGTACTTGGCACCTTTACTATTCAAGTCATTGATTCACAGTTCAATTTCAATGGGTTTTTTAATCTGTTTCCATTAAAATATCAGGAAACTAATATTTCTTAATCATGAATTTAAACTGGTGTGTGTGATTATTGTTTAATGCCACAGTCTGCAATATTCCCGCTATATCATGTTGGCAAGTAAAGAATTATCCAAACCAGTGGTGGTTGGTTGGTTGGTTTGTTGTTTAATGCAGCACTCAGCAATATTCCAGCTATATGACAGCGGTCTGTAAATAATCAAGTCTGGACCAGACAATCCAGTGAGTGACATCATGAGCATCGGCCCATATGATGACATGCATCAACAAAGTCAGCGAACCTGACCACCCGATCCCGTTCGTCTCCTCTTACGACAAGCATAGTCACCTTTTACTTGCGGCAAGTATGGGTTGCTGAAGACCTATTCTATCCCGGATCTTCACGGGTCTAAACCAGTGGTGGATAGCATAAGCAACAACCTACATCATATGGCGGGTAGAACGACAAACATGGGAACTGAGAACCTCTTTTCATGTAGAATCTCCTTGTGAGACAAGCATGATGTACTGGGGATGTATTCTGTCCTAGAGTCCCTTACACAGATTGTTGAAAACAAGATATGAAAATATATCTCACCGGAATCCTCAGATATCCTTGTTGTCTGGACTTCTTCACGATAGGCATCGCTGCAGTAATATATATTCCTCCTGTATTTACAAGTATTTCCAAATGGTACTAATCTGTCAATCCTCCATCATGTGTTTCACCTCATAATGGATACAGCTATTGATCGTCTGCTGGATGAATGTTATTCCCTGATAAAAAGCATGACACAGATAAACTTACAGAGCACACTTATGCAAAGATGAAAACCACTTCACACTCCCACCTCAAGGAAACTGATGATCTCAGAAAGGAAACGAAAGTCTGATCCAACCCTATCTGTGGATGTCCCTGATCAGTGACTGCAACAATCCTGACAGGAAAACACGGGCCACAAAGGAAAGTTATAATAGACCGAATAACTAGACAGCACCTCGTGAATCCCTTCAAAGGGATATTCATGATATTCAAGGCAGACACTGGTTACATTAACATTTCGCGTGTTTACCTCCACTGTGGAAGAACTTAAGCTGTTTTACAATATTCAAATAACTCCATAAAAGTCAACTCTGTTGTCCTATAATATGAACTTGTCAACTATTCCCCAGCTAAGTCTGTCTGTCTACGGTGAAAACTAGGTCATGTAACCATGGTAACATACTTGAAATTGGTCCAGACATAAAACTGTTATCAAACATTTGCCCATATTATCCTCCTCAAATAACAATCTAAACCAACAACATGATTCAACAACAATCTGAACAAACAACAGTCTGATAAACAACTGAAGTTCAACACTAATCAGAACCAAGATCTACTATGCTCTGAACCATCAACAACAATCTGAAACATCAACAACAATCTGAACAAACAACAATCTGAAACATCAACAACAATCTGAACAAACAACAATCTGAAAGATCAACAACAATCTGAGCCAACAACTATCTGAACCATCAGCAACAATCTGAACCAACAACAATCTGAATAAACAACAATCTGAAACATCAACAACAATCTGAACCATAATCAACAATCTGAACCATCAACAATCTGAAACACCAACAACAATCTGAAACATCAACAACAATCTGAACTGAAACAATCTGAACCACAACAACAATCATAACCAACAACAATCTGTCAGAAGAAATAGGCAGCAATCGTTGTTAAGTATAGCCAAGGGAGTGGAGCAGGAGTAATAGATATCACTTAGCACAGTTCAGTTCACTACAAGCATATCTGTGACCTACAAGCAGGTGGTGACAACCAAACCACTGGCCTGACCTGACACCTACTTCAACAAACTGCTGGAACTGTACACCCCCACTATACCCCTGATGTAAAAGTTGTATGGAAGCAGATGATTATAGTTAGTATTATGACACTTTAACAACATCGCAACCAACCCAAACATCTTCACAGAGGACTGAAAAAGTAACATCCATCTCCATATGGTTAGTTATGACAGGAAACAAGTCCAACATAAAAAAAGCCATTCACTTACTTTGATGTTGAGAACTGACAAAAAGGCAAGAAAGACAATCAAATATGTACTGATCAACCTCCAAAAAATTTACTTAACTTAATGTCAAATCCACAAAGTGACAGATTGACATGCCTGGCTTCCATCAAGACTTCAAAGCGTTCAAAGTGTACGACACAAAAACACACATCCACACTTTGTGGCAGGTGCTTTGAACACTTAATAAAATGTACACATACAAAATGAGCACATCCAAATGCCGGTGTGATATTATCAATCAGAGTGTTCGATACAAAGCAACGGAAATTATGGCACCATATGTACGAGAGACTGTACTGATAGTATCCATTACCATACAATCTGACGTCAAATAGCTCTCCCTTGGAACACACAGAACCATCTCTGACAAAAGAATGCCAGCACAAAACTGTTTCAAGCAAATATATGGTCATCACAACCATGTGATGTGAAAGTATTGACACTACTGACGGAGATAAGAGGCCACTCACCCAAATGATATTTAGCCAACATGAAATACAGAAATTGTATTCCACATGATTGAGTGACAGTGAGTATTCACTGATCCAGTGAAGCAGAGATGTTGATTTCAAGTTTACATGTACATTTCCTTGTTGTTCGCGGCAGGGAGAGCTGTAGGTTGTCTACATGCTGATGGGCATATTACTCAATGTGGCTCTACAGGGTGGGGCTTGACATGCGACAATGATTTACCATGACCAGTCACTAATGTTTCAGTCTTCTGTCCCAATCTTTATTTATGTCTTATGTTTTAGTAGATTTTAGTAAATACATTGAAATATTAACAGAGTTTGCATGTTCAGTGACCATGGTGACTGTCCATTGTTGTTTGTTTGTTTTGTTGTTTAACACCACACTCAGCAATATTTCAGCTATATGACGGCAGTCTGTAAATAATCGAGTCTGAACCAGACAATCCAGTTAGTGACATCATGAGCATCAGTCCACGTAATTGGGATACAATGACATGCATCAACCAAGTCAGCGAGCCTGACCACCCCATCCTGTAGTTGCCCCTTATGACAAGCATAGTCACCTTTTACATCAAGCATGGGTTGCTGAAGACCTATTCTATCCCAGATCTTCAAGTAACAAGATTAAACATTTTTTTTAAATTCCACCAAAGCTCAGCTAATAAATAGTTGTAGCAGGATCACGAGGGCTACATGGGTTTTTATACGTCCCGTGTCTAAGGTCTTATACCACTAGCCAGAGGCTTTGAAGTGGAGTATAAGGGGTTTATTCTGCCTCTTGATTTGTCAAAGTCAGGTTTTATGTTATTATTAATTTCTCAATGTATTTTGACGTCAAACTTTAAAAAAGTTCTTCTAAAATCATTTATGAATATTAAGTGTCAAACATAATCTAAATAAACAATTGATTGTATTTTCTATTTCTGATATATCCCATGTTGTATCTATTGGACAAATAGGTAAAGAGCCTCATGAGTTAGCTTCTCTGCTCAAACAGTGAGCACAGCCCACCTCCTATAACAGCTCAAAGGTTAACTGGATATTCTGGAACATAACTGACAAGTCAGCAAAGCGAAGCTACTGGCGACACTATTTGTCCATATCATCTCTGCACAAACAAGCACACAGGTCTATAACATGTTTAGTGATCCCGTGAAAGACCTCCCTGTCACAGCTGATGCAATGAGAGTCACATGCTAGCTGAACAAGCAGACCGCTGGTCATGGCCAGGTAAGAACAGTACATAGTTAAGATGATAGTTTACAGGTGGGCATGAAATGTACATTTCTGATCTCAACTGCTGAGTCCAGAGTTCCAGATAAGCTGTGTACTTGTGTAAAATATGCTGAACCTAAAACAATTAACCAATTAATTTTGCATTTCTTGCATACAAATACCAGTGTTTGAAATTAAGGGGGCCTATAGGGGTCCTTGAGAATTTTTCCTCCAGTAGTTGATTTGCGGGCCCCCCTAAATCTTTCATATGTAACATTTAGGGTTATGACAGGGACCCCTTGACTATCATGCTTAATTCTGAACACTGCTTGATTTTCAAAGATATACCAACACTAACACAGTAAGGATAAGAATTAATGGATGAACAACCTCTTTATTACAATTAAGAGTGATGTTTCGGTGTAGATTCTAACACCGTTATCAAGCAAGTGATGATCTAGTGGGTTGATGGCAGTAGGTTTGTTTCTTGAGATTATTGAACTTGGCTATGTGAGTCTTTTTTGTGGTGGAGTCCAGGTAACAGTTGCTGGTGGTCTGGATCTTTCTGAGGGTGGTGAAGGTTTTGTATGTTAGGACTGATTGGAGGTAGTTTTGATCTTTAGTGATGGCATCCAGGGTGAGGGACTTGGTCTTGCGATGGTGGCTTATCCGTTCTACGACAAGGTGTTGCGTCGCTCTTAATTTTAATAAAGAGGTTGTTCATCCATAAATTCTTATCCTTACTTAGTACTCCAACTTCTAAATGCCTATCAAAGACGTAACACTTACACAGATAAAAAAAATCATGAAAATCAACAGTACAACCACATTCGGTGTAAGTGAATGAGTGAGTGAGTGAGTGAGTGAGTGAGTGAGTGAGTGAGTGAGTATGGGTTTACAGAGCTTTTCACAATATTCCAGCAATATCACGTTGGAGAACACCAGAAATGGGTTTAATTACCCAATGCAGCATTTCTAGCTTGTGTGTCTGTATGTCCTCACTATTTTGTTTTACAGATGGAATATGCAGGCATCACATATGTACATAGACTCTATTACAATGAATAATGGACAAAGCGCCACCTGAAACAACAGTGTATGCAGAATTATATTTAAAAATGGTTATTATAGATTTATAGCCTCGACCCAAGGGAGTAAATATGTAAAGAATACCCAGATGAATGATAACAAATGAGGAAATACTCAAAGGCTGAAAAATAACCTGGAGCCAAGAATGGATTATCTGCCATATGTTTGACAAGTGCTCAATATCAAGCATGAAAATAATGGATTACTTCACCATGTTCACAGTTATTAACTGCACATTTTAGATTGACAGTATCCATTTACCCAAAATTTAAGCTCTGAAGCCTGATCCTAGTAAAGTTTCTTCTGGTGTAATTACATCAGGTTACACTGTGCCCCGAGTGGTTTATTCTCCCTGCAGTATTCTCCCTCTAGGAATGACATCATGATAGAACAATGTATTATCATCACAAAAGGTTCCAACACAGAACTGAAAATGTCAGATTAGGATATAAAATGTACTGGGGCAGTGTGTAATGATCCCCATCTCATTTGTAGGTTCATGAGTGAGTGAGTGAGTTGTGTTTAACGCCGCTTTTAACAGTATTCCAGTTATATCACGGCGTGTCAGCTTAATGTGGGAGGAAAGCCCGAAGTGATGCAGGTCTCAGACGTTTACCACTTCAGTGAAACCCACGAGCACGGGTATGGTGCTGACAAACGTAGAAACATAATCGGGGCGAACCGGGATTTGAACCCACAATCATAGGTTTCTGGCATGCCAAGGGGACGCAACTCTGCACAGCAAATCGCGGCGCCTTAGACGACTGGGCCACCCGTGCCCCCGTAGGTTCATGATTAACAATTGAGACTTGTGGAGCAATGAGCCATATTTCATCATCACTGTGGTGCATTGCATCTTGATGTACAGATTGTCCTCTGCATTGGTACATCCTGACCCATTAACAATTAGCTTCACTGACAATTATTTACATAAATACAATGTAAATGTGCAAGGTTGTGTGTCATACTGATTTTACGAAACCTGTGTAAGAATTCATGTATTTCCCTCGCTTTCACTCCAAAATACTCTGGCACTTGTTTCATAAAAAAGGTATGACACACATGCTTGAACGATCACTTTGTATTTAACAAAGATCCAATGAGGGTATGTCATAAATCTCATCAACTGTATGAAGTTTAAATATTGTAGAGTGGGCTGACAAAGTAGATCTATATCTTCATACCTGACACAGTCAACAGTCATATCTACAGCATCTACACTGTCCTGTCACAACATGATGTTACGCAGACCTGATGTTTGACGAGATGAAATATTCTACTTCAGACACTTCTCAGTGTCAACATGACATGTACATCTCTCACATAACCAAGCCATCTGCGTCACTGCTGACGTGACAAATGCATTTCGCAATCTGTTAATGATATCCTGGTTTAGTATAACATGGAATGTTTATGCAAAAAATCTCAGTGAAAGGGATATCATCCTTTCACGTCAAGTCATAAACATGTCATAATATAAATTGCTCTGAACAATTCAAAATGTTTGTGTGACTACAAACAGTGCTTGGGAGACAAACACCAGTATTATGAACCCCATATAGTAAAGACTTCAGAAGCCAATACTCAATTTTCATAATAATATATAGTGTACTCGCTACCGTAGGTTCATCTTCCTGAGGCAAGGGAGTTAACTGAATGTAAACGTCCAGTTTCCACCCTTGACGAAGTAGGATGGAATTATGGCTTTACATTTTGGCTGGACTAACAAGTCCTTGCATAGTCCAATCAAAATCGTGTAACAAAATTAACGGTTCGTAAACTGACGTGAAGAGTTTGTTTGACTGCAGGATCTGACAAAGCATGTGTACCATCAACTGAGCTTCAACAGATATTTTCCAAATCTTTTCATGTTTTTAATCAAGGTGCTCCCGCGATTTGATGTACTATGCAAAGTTAAACCCTTCATATTACAATATTGATCTTGATTATCAATCAGATCATCTCCATTGGGCGATGCCATTTCATTTGAAGCAAATGCAAACGATACGAGTGGTGGAATCTGATTGGTCAATAGGAGGGACAGAGAAGGGACATAATTCGTAAGAGCCACTAATGGTGCGACGGTTGATCCTAGACAGTCAGATAATCTATCCAAACGAAACACACTAAACACCTTTAGACAACACGTTATTTTGTATCACAAATGGAAATGCTAATGTAGGTCTAGATATTTTTAGTCCTCTCAATATTCTCAGTGACGTGGGTCAGGGAGTCAAACTTCAACATGTCTAGATAAAAACTCCTCCACTGGCTTATCAAGTTTACAGATCCACTGACTGTGAAAAGAGGAAAACAATCAAATCTGAATGGATCTATTTTCTCAACCCAGCTGAATGTGAATGGTTGTGTTGAACCCACAAAAAGCCCATACACTACGATAAACTGAAGTAGGACGAAACAGGTTTTATGACAACATGTTCTGATAACTTTCTGATAAACCGAGAAATGAATTGAAACGTCTTTTCTTATTTATTTCCCCAATTACTAAGATAACACAAATCAAATCTGTGAACGAAGTAATGCTAACTGTCTGGTCTCAAGTATCCATTTTATAACACTACTTGTCATCTGACACCAACTGGGGCAGTACAGATACATGTACCACATTCACCATATTAAGCACCCCCTAACCAACCTCTACACCAATCTGCCCCTACTAAGACCAAAACATTACATGACTGTATAGAGATTGTATATTACCGATTTATTACAGAAAACAAAACCATGTAACATGTATAGAGGGTAGTATCTTGGCCAGTAACTATTACCGAAAACTGCTTGATCTCTGAAAAAAATATTTTACCTTCGTTGTCTAAGGTTTTAATAAGTCCCCCTCTATGTCAATTGTCTAAGAGCCTGGATGTTTATTATGGCAAATATGGTACATAGCCTGTGGGATAGCCCAGGCTGGTTTCCAAAGGTCTTGTTATCTCTCGGATGATGTATATACACAAACATGATATACCAAGCTCCAGATAAGCTGTGGATCTCCATAAAATGTACACAAAATAAATCATAATAACCTACATGTTGAGTTACATACAAAATCAGTGTTACAATCAGATTGGTGTCCTGTGGTGACTGCAGTTTGTTCTTGTAGTACTTGAATCTGGAGACCCCCTAAATCTTTACTTTTAACAAGGGCCATGACAAGGACCCCTTGACTTTCATGCTGAACTTCAACACTGAATACACATGTAAAGTTCTGAAATACAACATTATTCCAACACTGTGTGTAATTACCCAATGTAGACATTTCAGGCTTGCATACCTGTAAGTCTTCACAGATCGTAGTTCTTTACACACTGACCTAATGCATTACATACATACACTAATGCAGTGAATAATGCCAACAGCCCAATATCTAGCATATGCTTGTAAGTTAGACGTATGTATGGCTGAACAATTGTGAGCTGATGCCACACAACACACTTGGGGCAGCACATGAACAGGGGCAAATTCACAGTGACTTGAAACAGCATTTCTTTCTGACAACGGTACGAAATCAGTAACATCGTTCAACGCAATAATGCAAACCCAAGCCCCCACCCATTCTATTATCATCCAATCAAAAACCCAGCATGTGGAAGAGGCCAAATTATATTTAGGAAAATGGCCCCATAATATGCAAAACCATGTGCTTGGTTAGCTGTATTCCACATCCTGGCGCCATGACTGTAGGGACCTGGCACTTAGGCCTCTTTAAATTTACTTGCTTCATGGATTTGTCTTATCAGACGCTTTGGGTAGTGGTTGAAAAAAATACAAAATTATGTTTAAATTTTTCTTTTGCAACTGATGATATCACTTTGGTCTGCAAAGCATTTTGATGCAATTTCATTGTAGCGATACCTCCAAGGAGATATCACCTGAACTCATCCAAGGATATCTCCCATGGAAACCCT